TCATGTCTTCTGCCCATTTCTTGATTGGATTCTTTGTTCTTTGGGTGTTGAGTTTGATGAGTTCTTTATAGATTTTGGATACTAGCCCTTTATCTGATAAGGACACGGCCAATGTTAACAGCTGGGAAAGAGAGGTGACGTGTGTAAGAGAGCCTCTGTGCTATTCTTGCAGCTTTTCTTCATGTCTGAAATTATTTTTGTAAAATGTGCAAAACAACAAAAGCAAAAAAAAAAAAAAACCCAAAAAACAAAAACAAACCAACACAACAACAAAAAACAAATACAGAATTAAACAGGAAAACAAAAATAATCTAAAATCCCACTAAGTGTAAGTATACATTTTTTCCTTTTCTCTCTTCTTTTTGGAAAAAGATTTACTTATTTGTTTGAGAGAGAAAGAGACAGAACGAGCAGGGGGATGGGCAAAGGGAGAAGGAGAATCTCGAGCCGACTCCATGCCCAGAGTGGAGCCCAACAGGGGGCTCAATCTCATGACCCTGAGATCATGACCTGAGCAAAAATCACTAGTTGGATGCTCAACTGACTGAGCCATCCAGGCGCCCCTCTCTCTCTTTTTCTTTAAATAAAAATATGCTGTACGTGCTGCTGGTAGCCTGTTTTTCCTCTTAGCAATATGTTGTGAACATGTTTCCTTAACTCTTAAACGTAAGAAATTTGCTTCACATTTCTCTCTCCCACAGTAGGCTGCTGGGTGATAGTCTTAAACACTTACTTGATTTGATAAAGAAGTATGAATTTCTCTTAATTATACTGATTATATAGAACACTTTTTTTACACGTTGCTAATTACTCTAAGTCTCTGAAATTCTGTTCTGCAGAACGTTCCTCCAATTTCTTTTTTTAGAATGATACATCACTATCTGCCGTTCTGTTGTTGCTCTTTATCTTAATACACTCTGGAAGGCTGATAAAATGTCCATCTGGTCCATACAGTGTCCTGAGTCTCTAGAATGACTCTTGGCAAATCGGCAGGTGCCCTAGAAATAGTTTTTGAATGAACAATGACTGAAGGCCCTGGAAGACATTATTGTGTCGTCTTCCAAAGCTTACAACTATTGAAATCATACAACTAGGCAAACTTCATCTTCTAGCTCTCTTCAGTGATGAAGTAAATGTGAAAAAGAAATTATCAAATACTTTTTAAACTGCTAAAAGCCATAGGGTCTGAGAACAGAATGAATGATGCTAATTAAGTTTTTAGAACTTTAAGTCAGGGCAGTTGCATTTTGGTTTAGTTTCCTTGTGGACGCTCACGACATACAAATAGCAGCACGAAGATGACGTGGCCCTTATTTGAGCACATGTGTGAAATCCAGCACCGGCTGCAGCCAGGAAAGCAACAGAAAGGCAAAGCTGGAGAGAAAACTCCAGAACACAACCGGTTACAACTTTACTAACTTAAAACGTTGCTGGGGCACCTGGGCTCAGTCGGTTGAGCATCAGTCTCTTGGTTTCGGCTCAGGTCATGATCTTGGGGTCGTGAGATGGAGCCCTGCTTGAGACTCTCTCCCCTCCCTCCCCCTCCGTTTGTGCCCCTCCCCCTCTCGTGCATGCTCACTCTCAAATAAATAAATAAAATCTTAAAAAAATAAATAAAACATTGTTAATTCTTCACTCAAAGTTACAGCAATCGACTTGCAACCACTTCCACTGCCAACAAGAAGGTTGAGCCTCTGGAAGTTTCTGCCTGAGTGAGCAAGTCTGGGAGAGGCAGCCCGAGAAAGAGCAAGTACAAACTACAGGCCGTGAAATAAATCACCACTGGAAGGAGGGATGTGAGCTACTACATTCTGCTATTTGGAATCATGGAGCATATATATATATATTTTTTTTTAAAGATTTTTAAAATTTATTTATTTGACAGAGAAAGACACAGCGAGAGAGGGAACACAAGCAGGGGGAGTGGGAGAGGGAGAAGCAGGCTTCCCGCAGAGCAGGGAGCCCAATGTGGGGATCGATCCCAGACCCCTGGGATCATGACCTGAGCCGAAGGCAGACACTTAATGACTGAGCCACCCAGGCGCCCCTGGAATCATGGAGCATATTAAAAACTGTGGTTTAGATCCACAGGGCCGGACGGATGTGTGGCTGTGGCGGGTTCATCTGCGGAGCAGGAGGGCTTGAGAAGCAGAGGACAGAAGTGATGAAGGCCACGGAGAGTAAAGACCAGAGAGGTTTTTTTCCCTAAAAAACCAAGGTATTTCTTAGTGCAGTTTTAAAGATCCTGGAGAAAAGAGAACCCGCACAAGAAAGCCTAACTTCCCCTGAGCGGCCGGCGCATTACTTTCTCATCGCTTAAACATGGCCGTTCAGTCTCACCTCACTGGTCTGCTCACTCATCTGATCCCTTACAAATCACATAAAGCTCTTACAACTCGATGATTGTGCACAGCCTCGGCATAAACGACGTTGCAAGGTGACAGTTCTGCAGGAAGACCCACTGTGCGGCCCTGGGAAGGGCCTTCATGATGAGCTCCTCTGCCTTGGCAGCCTGGCTGCAGCCCAGGGAAATAATGGTCACGTGACTTGTTCCTCCTTTTAACTCTTGTGCCAATTTCAGGACAGTGTTGGTGAGGTCAGTCCCTGCACAGAAACATGGAAACATTCACACAATTATAACCTCATTTCATTCCCTCCAGAAAACATATTGCTTGCTTGCTTGATTGATTGAGTGTAGGTTCCACACCCAGCGTGGAGCCCAGGGCAGGGCTTGAACCCACAACCTGAGCTGAGATCAAGATCAAGATCTGTTAACATGTTTAATACTTCCTTTCTTCCATTCTGTTGTTTAGAGTGTGGACGTGAGGGCTAGAGCCCTGGCAGCCATTCTGGGCTATGTCTTCAGGAAATGGACAGCAGCTACTAAGAGTGTGTCAGGTGAAGGACAGCCGCTTTACATAAAAGGTTACAGAGGAGGAAGCGTCCACGTGCACGCACTTTTAGAAAGTTTTTTTGCCCATAGAATCAAAGTCTGAATATGGTGAATTCTGAAGACATTTGATTTAGAGATGACAAAGAACAGAAGATAAGTGAAAATATTTTGCTTAGGGTCTGTGGGGCAAAGACAAGGGGAAAAAGCATTTGGAGTTTTGAGGTACACAAGGGCTGGGTTGGCAGGGCCACCTAGTGTTTTTTTGTTATGTATTATCTTTTCATGAGCCAACGGATTAAAACAGTTAACAAATACAAGGGCCATCCCAACTTTCAGATCAGTAATATGTGTTTAGGAGATATTTTCTGCACAGAAAATTAGCATGGGTAAGTTTTTCCATGGTTATGAATCTGGGAAATTTTATTCTTCTTTGTTCTTTTACATTTTTAGAAATATTCAGTCTTAATATAGTTTAAATAGTCCCTTTTCCAAAATACTTAACTAAGAATAGGAAAATATTTTAAACATAAAAACACCCGACCCAGAACCTACTTGTCTACACCTTCCTTGGAGTATGAAGGTGGCATCTTACCATGGGAGTGAATAAGTATTATCGGAGTTCTGGCATTGGATTCCTTATACGACTCTCTCAAATTAATTCCAGTTCTGAGAACATATTCACTTCCCATTTTTTCAGTTATAAACATTTTCACTGAATTCTTCAAATGTTCTGGTTGAAGAATTTTTATCTAAACAAGAAAGCACAGAAGAGAAGGTAACGTTAAAAACCGCCCAAGGGAATGGTCCCTATGGCAAATGGAACAAAGCGAGGAAGTGTTCATTATCCACGTGGGTGGAGTTTGACGGAGCTCCTCATGTTGGGCATGTGTAATGGAGAGTCCACACGTGGCAGAGAAGCTGCCACCTTGGCTTGTGGTCCCTCCTCGGAGCCAGGGCCACCCTGTGCCTCCGTCCCTCTCACACTCTGACAGAGATCTTGCTTTGGATGCAAAAATCCCAGTTATGGTCCCTGATGCTGCAAAGAGAAATTTCCCATGGGCTTCTTCCTGCTCTGCTGGACGTGTCTGGAGCAGGATGAAAATCAGGACAGCACAACCGGAAGGCGACTCCTCCAGGAGTAACACGAAGATAAACAGCACCGCAAATGGAGTGCGGATCCAGAAAGAACCCTAGGGCTGAACGAGTTTGGAAACTGTGTACAGGTGGTAAGTAGAGGCTCAGGGTCCACTGGAAGAAATCACTGCAAATCTTGGAGGAAAGACCTGTTCCATGAAAATTGTTTCATACAAACTACTTACGTGCCTTTTATAAAATGACCATGAATTCTGTCCTCAGCCTCAGAGGCCCCATCATTTAAGGCAAAGCTGAAACGGTGTGTGAATCTGTGTGGATGCCCTAGGTTGAACCATGGGAAACTACCATTTTTACGGGTCAAAAACTGCCAAGTATTGGCAATTTCACTGTTTAACATAATACATGTGATCATTATGTCAAATTCTGCTCTTTTCTTACACCTTGGAAAAATGAATCTTGATTTTCTTTGACTTAAATGACTTAGATGAAAATTGGCAGCACACAAAGCATCTGGGGTCTAAGAGTAGAGCTCGCCCAGTACATCCGCTTCATGAAAGCGCTAGAATCAGCGTAAGGCAACGGATGGTCAGGTGTGGTCCCGACACGGCGCCCTGAGAGTCTGTGCTCCCGGACGTGGGTGTGACCGGCTGTCACCATCATGCGGCAGCTCCCTCACTTTATTGACCAATGGAGCAGAGCGATAAGTTTTAACACTGGAGGTGGGGAGAGAAAGCAGGATCAGAAGGAATGGGGTTGTGCTGAGCTCGGTTCAGCCAGCTGCTTTCTAAGCAGCTACGGATAGTTCTGGAAATTGTCCTCATGTGCCCCCCCCCCACCCCGGTCATCTTCCTGCAGAGCTGTAGCGATGGGGAGCGGTGTGTGGACTGGACCGAGTCCTTGCCCTCACGGAGCTCTGTGCTTTCATCCTGCCCCAGGTGGAGCCTTTCAAACACATTCTAACTGAATCTCTCTTGTGGCAATCCCAGTGTCCGACTTTTACGGGCCAGACCCAGTTTCAAATATTCTAACTCAATTTCTTTGTCATGTGTACGTGACCCTTTATCAGACCATGTCTTCTGACAGTGGGGTTAGAAAATAGGATTGCTCCACTCATGAAGTTTCTAGCTGAAAAACTAGAATCATCTGGAGCTTATTGGGGAAAGTAAGATAGCACAGGCTTTAAAAAGTTAATTTTGCTCTTAGAGTCACACTGGCTACGTAAAATTCAAATAATACAAAGAACTAGAAATTGGAAAATGGAGGTCCTATTTTCTGGAAAACCACTCGTTTTTTATGCACATACGAGCATCGCTCTGTCTACCCTCCTGTTTTCCACGGCTGGACCTGTGCTACACAGACTGTGACGTGTTTATAGCATTTGTCAGTTAGGACAGCTGAAATGTATGCTCCTGTCATGACGAGGCCAATAAGCCGCAGGTAGAGAGGGGGTCGCAGGCTGTCTACACTGCCAGGTGGGTAACATGAATTAGAGAAGCAGGTTGGACAGAATGAAAACAATTCTCCCCGGAGGAAAAACAAAGCTGGAACTATGGTGCTTGCTGGCGGCTAACAGTCACCGTCGCTGTGAGGAAGTGATCGCCAGTGGTGACAGACGACCAACCGTGGCTCACGACCGTGGCGCACAACCGTGGCTCACAACCGTGGCACAGTGGTCCTTGGGGCCGGCGCCGCTCAGCTCCAGCTCTTCCTGCTGCCTGCAGACCCAGCACTGCCTGATCTTTTACTTTTTCAATAAAAACTGGAAATATGGATTTTTTGGTGAAATCTCTCAATTTGCAAATTTTGGCTCAAAGAAAAGAACAACACAAACCAAACGTGGACCCTCTTGTCTGCAGTGGCGTTATTCATGACAGACCAGGGGAAGGAGGAACCCGTGTGCACGGCCAGATGAACGGAGGAAGAAGATGTGGTGTGTCCTCAGCCTTGAGCAGGAAGGAGGCTCTGACACCTGCTGCCACACGGAGGAGCTCTGAACACCCTATGCCAGTCACGAAAAGATAAATGTTGCATGATTCCACTGCCGTTAGGTCCCTGGGATCGGCGACTGGAGACAGAAAGTAGGACAGTATCTGCCAGCGTCTATTGGGAGGAAGGCACGGGGAGTTATCAGTTCGCAGGTGCAGAGCTTCTGTTTGGGAGGATAAGAAAGTTCTGGAAATAGAGGTGGTGGTTGCACAACATTGTGAATGTACTTCATGCCACTGAATCTCTCAGAATTAAAAGAGTTTATTAGGACTAAATGAAATTATATTTTGCCACAGTAAAACAAATAGAAGACAACTCACTTCAAGATAGAAGTGTACACAGAGTTTTTAAGTCGTGTGTGATATCTTCGTTCTCTTTAAAGACTCTGAAGTCTCGTAAGACAGATCTCCAGAGGTTCAAACCCGTTTGTCTGGTGACAATTTACACTTAAATCATTGCAGAAACAAAACAAAGTGAAATGTCTGTAAGCCAGATGCAATTTTGGGGGGCAACCTCTCTCTGGAGTGAATTTTAAAGTGTTACAAAAATAAAATTTAATGCAGAAATCGAAGGGTGACCGGCTGTCCGGGCTGGTGTTTGCATGAAGTCAGGGCCGATAGGGGAGAGAGAGGAGGGGTTTCTCCATCCCTAAGCTAGATGGCAGATGCAGAAATAAAAAGAAGCTTTGCAGGCTCATGAGGCTGAACCGAGGACGAGGATGGTCTCCCCTGGGAAAAGTAGTGTTACTGCTGGAAACCAGGTTTTACAAATGCTCTGGGTTTCAATCCTGGCTCTGTTAGCGGTCTCATCTTGTCTTGTCTCTTTTTTTCTTTTCTTTTCTTTCTCTCTCTTTCTCCCCACCTCCTCCCTTCTTCCTTTTCTTTCCTTTCCCCCCCTTTCTTTTCTTTCCTTTTCTTCTTTCTTTTTTCTTCTTTTCTTTCTTTCTTTCAGATTTATTTGAGAGAGAGAACAAGCAGGAAGGAGGGGCAGAGGGGCAGCGAGCAGAGAGCCTGATGCGGGACTCGATCCCAGGACCCTGGGATCATGACCTGAGATGAAGGCAGACACTTCACCGACTGAGCCCCCCAGGTGTCACAGCCATTAGGCAATTTCTAAGCCTTGGCCCCCTAATTCTGTGATGTGGGGGAAATAATCATAGCTCCCCCCCAAGATTATTATGAGGATACATGAAACAATGTCTGCAAAATGCTTAGCACACCCTAAGCTTTAGCTGTTTTAAGGGGCTCATGACTGACACCCATTTGCATCCCCAGTGGCACCCCCCCTCTGCGATTGTGAAGCAGGAGGAGTCAGGTAAAATATCACCTTTATTAACAGTAGCAGGATGGACATGCTTCCTGACACGGAGCCCTCACAGGCTGGGTCCGTGCCTAGACCACTGATGGCGTGGAGAGCAGAGCATGGGACCAACCGTGGTCCCACAGTCTGCAGGAGGTGGACCCGAAGGGACGGGGTGAAGGCACTGAGCCACCACTCTTCATCCCTCACAGGCACCCGTTTTCCAAGTCCTCCTCTCTGGGGGGGGTGCGCGGGGGCAGAGGGGGCCTGGAGTGCCACCTGATCGGAGTGTGAGTGCGCCCCTCTAACATGAACGGTACTTGAAAAATCCATACATTTTGCTAAAAAAATTTTAAACTTGAATGGTTTAACTTACTGATAAAGTGCTCAAAACATGTAGAATATCACTGTTTTCTCACAGCACATCTTACCAAAATAAGTCTCTGAAATGCACTGAGTTTCTCCCAGGGGAAATTCACAGGACTACGTACTTCTTCCTTTTTATCCAGAAGTTCAGCTAGATATAATTTAGAGAAAGAAACGGACGTGAACAATCAAGTGCCTTGGATCACTAAGAAACACACAATGAAAATTCTCTTATAAAACTCTAAAGTTTGTTTTAAAAACATGTCTTATTTTTTATTTTTTTTTAAAGATTTATTTACTTTAGAGAGAGAGAGAACATGCACACGTGTGCAGGTTGGGGGGGTGCAGGGGGAGGGAGAGAATCCCAAGCAGCCTCCCCACTGAGCACCAGACGCGGGGCTTGATCCCACGACCCTGAGATCACGACCTGAGCCAAAATCAAGAGTCGGACGCTCAACTGACGGGAGAAGCAGGGGCAGGCCAACACTTTACAACCTGCTCCTGCATGTGTGAGGTTTTTCCAGTGAGTATAAACTAATAACTCTAGAGGTTAGAAAGTTCTCGTCATAATCTACCTATAAAGATATTGGAAATGAGAATCAGGTGGAAATGCAACAAGACTCTCAAATTTTTGAAAATTGAATATTATACAGATCTGTGTTTTTAATACTGCCCCTCTGCAGTAGAGTCTGCAAAGGGGTCCTACGTGTGCATTTCCAATTATCCTGGTGTACCTATCATTTCTGCCTCCTACTACTTCCATGTATTTTCCCCGTGTCTAACTTTAAACACAACGTGGATTACAGAGATAGCTTTTTTGAATAGGGCTAAAATGGGTGTGTTGATCTTAAAAAAAAAAAAGTCCACGATACACGAAAATCTAGTTACAAATTGATAAATCTGATTTTTCCCCCCAAATAAAAAGGTTTTCACTTTACAAAATAATGACCTAGAGAGAAAACTCTGGGGGAAGAGGAGAACTTCTTAGAAGTCAGAACTGGAAATCAGGAAGCTATAAAAGAAAGAAAGTAGATGTAATTGGCCATACAGACATTTCCTCATTGCCTGGTAGAGACAGTATAAACAAATCCAAAAGTCACTGGCCAATTTTAAAAAATACTTGAATGAACAGGTTGGTATCTTTAACAAAACAAAAAGTTGATTATCTGTTATGCCAATAGGGTTCTTACAGAAGGCCACAAAAGAATGAATAATTCAGTAGAAAAATGGGTCAAGTATGTGAACAGGAAAGTCCAAATGCTCTACAAACATCTGAAAAGGTACTTAAACATGGTGCTAGTCAGGAAATCCAAATTAAAGTACCTTAAAGTTTTCAGATCGGCAAGAGTTAAGAAAAGATCAATACCCCTCTTGGAAAAGGAGAAGTCATGTATTGCTGCTGGAAATGTAAATTATCCTGGACTTTTAAGACGAGCAACCTGGCAGCAACAGTTCACATAAAAATCGTATGCTTTTGACCCAGCGGTTCCGTTTCCGGCTGCCCATCCCAGAGACAAGAGCAGAGGAAATGGGTGTAAGGGTCCTATGTTGGGGCAGAAGCTCACAGCAGAGCTACATTCCTGCTGGGATACTGAGCTACGTCAGTAAGTTGACCATCCCCATGCACATTGGTTAGGTTAAATAAAACATCGAATGCTCTCTTACTTTCCTTCGGTGATCTCTTACTCTCCTCCACTGAGGCACTTTCTGGAGGGAAAGGGACGCTCATCAGGCAATAGGCAGCCTGGCTGGTTTTGAAAGTTTCCCACTGGGGCACGTTGTACAGCAGGGATTTGCACAGGAGAGAGAAGGGCTTGAGCTCACTGCTGACATACCGGCACTGTCTCCACTGGGATTCCGACACCCACTGCAGATGCCCACCACCGCACGTCTCATACATGCCTACCGGAAGAGGGAGAGGGCCGATACCCTTTACCTTTGAGTTACTCATTAAAGGCAGACTAAATAAATATTGTTTTTGAGGAAAAGGCGTTTTACATAAAACTAATTACATAAACGGCAAGTTTTTCATAGTGGTAAAAACACCTAACATTTACCTTCTGAACTATTTGTACGTGTTCATCCATGTTAAGTACCTTCCTGTTGTTGTGAAATGGATCTCCAGACCTTTCCCTGCAAATCTGAAACTCTGCCCCCATGAAACAGCCCTCCCCCGCCCCTGGGCAGCCACTGTACTCTCTGTCTCTCTCTGATTCCAGCGACTTCGGATGCCTCAGGTAAGTGGAATCACACACATGGTTGTTGTCTCTTGGTGACTGGCTTCTTTCCCTCGGTGTCGTGTCCTCAAGCTTCATCCGTGCTGTAGCAGGTGCCAGGGTCTCCCGCTTCTAAAGGCTGAATGATACTCCCTTGGAACTACACACCGTGTTCTGTGTATCCCCTGATGGACTCATGGCTTCCACCTACTGGCTATGTGAACACTGCTGCTGGGGACGCAGGCGTGCAGAGAGCAGTCTGAGACCCTGCTTTCAGTTCTTCTGGCCGTATAACCAGTGTGGCATTCTTAGCTCATATGCAAGTTTTAACTTTAATTTTTTGAGAAGCCTCCATACCGTTTTATGTGAGAGCTGTACCAGTTCATAGTCCCACCAACAGCGCACGAGGGCTCCAATGCCCGCACACCCTCGCCAGCACTTTTTTAATTTTCTGGTTTATTGTTTTGTTTTTTACAGTAGCCATCCTACTGGATATGGTCTTGTGATTTGCATTTCCTGATGATTGAGGATATTGACCATCTGTTCACGCGCTTCATCTTTAGAGAAATGTCTATTCAGGTCCTTGGCCCATTTTAAAATTGGGTTATTGGATTCTTGTTGAGTGGTCAAAGTTCTTTATATATTTTATACATTATCTCCTTACCAGATATAGGATTTGAAATTGTTTCTCCCATTCAGTAGGTTGCCTTTTTATTCTGTCGATGGTGAGTTTTTAAGTTTGATGTCATTCCATTTGTCTATTTTTGCTTTTGTTGCCTGAGCATTGGTGTCATATCCAAGAGATCATTGCCAAGTCTGGTGTTATAAAACTTTTCCCTTATGCTTTCTTCTAAGAGTTTTATAGTTTTAGGTCTTATGTTTAGATCTTGAATCCATTTTGAGTTTATTTTTGTATTTGGTATAAGATAAGGGTCCAATTTTGTTCTTTTGCACGTAGATACCCAGTTTTCCCAGCACCATTTGTTAAAGACACTGTCCTTTCCCCATTGAGTGCTCTTTCCATCCTCACTGAAGATCATTTGACCATATATGTCTTAATTTCTGGAACTCTCTGTTCCATTCCATTGGTCTATTTATCTGTCTTTATGCCACTGCCAGGCTGTTTTCTTTATCGCTTCATAATATAGCTTGAAACCAAGATGTATGATGACTCCAACTTTGTTGTTTTTCAACATTGTTTTGGCTATTTGGAGTCCCTTGAGATTCCATATGAATCTCAGGAAGAATTTTTCTATTCCTGCAAAAAGTTCTATTGGGATTTTGTTAGGAATTGCATTGAATCTGTAGATTGCTTTGGGTTAGTATGGACATCTTAACAATATTGTCTGCCAATCCATGAACATGGTAAATGTATTCCATTTATTTGTGTTGTCTTCAATTTCTTTCAGCAGTGTTTTGTAGTTTTAAGTATATGCGTCTTTCACCTCCTTGGTTAGGCTTATTCCTAAGTGTTTTATTCCTTTTGCTGCCATTACAAATGGGATTGTTTTCTTAATTTCCTTTTCATATTATTTGTTGTTAATGTGTAGAAATGCATTATATATGTTGTTAATGTATAGAAATGCATAATATAGAAATGCATCTGATGATGTATGTTGGTTTTGTATCTTGCAACTTTGCTATATTGGTTTACTAGCTCTAACAGTGTTTTCATGGACTCTTCTTTAGAGTTTTCAACATGTAAGATCATGTCATCTGTGAACAAATAGAGTTTTACTTCTTCCTTTCCTATTTGGATGCCTTTTCTTTCTTTCTCTAGTGCATTGGCTAGAACTTCCATGCTAAAAACAAGTGGTGAGAGCAGGGGGCATCCTTGCCTTGCTCGAGATCTTAGAGAAAAACTCAAGTTTCACCACTGAGTAGGATGTTAGCTGTGGGTTTTTCACAAATGACTTTTATTGTGTAGAGGTAGTTTCCTTCTATTCCCAGTTTGTTGACTGTTCTTACTTACTAAAGAGTTGAATCTTATCAAATGTTTTTTTTGCATCATTAAGATGGTCATGTGGTTTTGTCCTCATTCTGTTAATGTGCTTATTACATTGACTCATTTTCTTATATTGAAACAGCTTTGCATTCCACAAATAAATTGCATTTGGTCATGGTGTATAATCCTTTTACTATGCTATTGAATTTGGTTTGCTGTATTTTGTGGAGAATTTTGACATCTATAGTCATCAGAAATATCAGCCTGTAGTTTTCTTTTCTTGTAGAATCTTTGGCTTTGGTATCAGGGAAATGCTGAACAAGCTTAGAAGTATTCCCTCCTCAATCATTCTTCTTCTTTTTTTTTTTTTTTTAAGAGTTTCAGGAAAATTTGTGTTTATTCTTTTTTAAATGTTTGGTAGAGTTTTCCAGTGCAGCCATCTGGTCCAGCACTGGCATCCAGTGCAGAAAAGAAAAAATTTCTTTTCTCTGTTTGGAGATTTTTGCTTACTGAATCAATCTCCTTACAAGTTATAAGTCTGTTCAAATTTTGGTAGATTATACATTTCCACTTCTTCTAGGTTGTCCAATTTGTTGGCATATAACATTTCGTAGTGTCTCCTATCATCCTTTTTATTTTTGTGGCATCAGTTTTAATGTTGCTGCTTTCATCTCTGATTTTAGTTATTTGAGTCTTCCTTTATTTTCTTGTTAATCTAGCTAAGAGTTTGTCAATTTTGTTAATATTTTCAGAAAGCCAGCTATTAGTTTTGCTGATTTTTCTATTTTTTTTAATGCTCTATTTTATTTATTTGTGCTCCACTCTTTATTGTTTCCTTCCTTCTGCTAGCTTTGTAGTTGGTTAGTTCTTTTTTTTGCTAGTTCTTTGAGGTGTCGGGTTAGGTTGTTTATTTGAGACCTGCTTTTTTAATGTATGCATTTATAAACTTCTCTCTTAGTACTGTTTTTGCTGTATCCCATAAGTTTTGTTATATTGCATTTTAATTTTTATTTGTTTCAAGATATTTTCTAATTTCCCTTGTAATTTCTTTGACCCGCTGGTTATTTAAAGGTATGTTGTTTAATATCCAGATATTTTTGGATTTCTCATGTGATACTGATTTCTAGTTTCATTCTGTTGTGGTCAGAAAAGCTACTTTATATGTCAATCATTGTGCTTACTGTTTAGCATTAGAAAAAACAGGAAACCCAAGTCTCTAACTTGAGAGAGTGGTTACATAAGTTTTGGTCCATTCAAATATTGGAATGTTGTGCAGACATTAAAAAGTCTTAAGTATATTTATTGATGTAGGAAGCTACCTTTGACATATTATTAATTTCAAAAAAAGTAAGTCTGTACAGCAAAGTCACCTGAAAGAATACACATGAATATTCCTATATGAATATGAATATATGTAAAGAATATATATATGGAGGGAAACTAGTGGAAGGACAACCCACAGAAATATTAATAGTGATTATCTCTAGATTGTGGAATTACATTATTTATTTCTTTTTGCTTATCTGTAGGTTGGAATGGTTTGTTTAATAAACACGTACTGCTTGTATAACTAGAAAAATGGAAGCTATTACATTGTTGTTGTTGTTTCTTAAAATATACCGAGGATGTTTTTAGGCTTCCAAGTGCAGTGGACGCCTCATGGGTCGGCTTTTCTGCTGCATGACCTTGTCTCCTGGTCACAGGTGGGTGGTTCAGGACTAGAGTCCTGATGGCACTCAGACCCACCCTCCTGGAGACTCGGTGTCTGACCATGAGGCCCAGGGCCTGAGAACTGCCGGATGTTGGGTTAACAGTGGTTGCTGGTTCATCTCACGTTGGTGCTTGGTTACTCACATTTTCCTTGCTGTTTTCTGAGATACCCAAGAATCCTTCTAGACATTTTAATTTTTATTTTGGTTTAAGATATTGAGTCATTTTTGTCTGTTTTTGGCAAGCCCAAGAATCTTGGTAAACTCACAAGAGCATTTATTAACTCAACATTCGTTTACCAAACATCTACTTTATACCAGGCTTTGGTACAAGTAGAAACAAACAACAAAACAAAACTCTCCAAATGTCTGGTATCCGCCAGAGCAATTCTTTGATATTTCCATTCTGACTGAAGTCTTTGCTAATAGTCTCAGAACCACCACCTTTTCTTCCTCAGTGAGAATGTCAGACCACCTTTAGCTTTATATTTTTTGTGACTTAAAATTACAACACAGCACAACAACGTCAATGTACTTCATGCCACTGAACTGGACACTTAAAAATGGTGAAGAAGGTAAATTCTACATTATGTGTATTTTACCACAATTAAAAAAAATGAATATACTTAAAACTGTACGACACAGGAGGATTTGAACAGATTCTATACGTGGTGATTTCTGCCTAAGCATTTTGCACAAGCATAGTTTTTGTGGTTCAAATTTTCCAGGAATTTTCCTAAGACACTGCAGGTGACTAGAGTGATACAACCTGTCTTCATTGAGCAGCCCATCTCCCAAATAAAAGCACCAAAAATCCTAAAGTAAAAAACTCTTATGGAAAGATTTCAGAATGAAGGAACTGCATTTAATATTCCAGTGGATTTTATTTAAATTCATTTTTTGTTTGCCTTCAGAATGTGTGTTAGATGATGAGGAAATCGTAGACATCTTAAGAAAAGCCAAAATGACTTCAAATGAAATTTCAAAGCGCATCAAAGCAACAGAAAAAGCGGAAAGTCAAATCCAAGAGATGCGCAAAAGCTATCTCCCCATTGCTACCCGAGGTGCCCTGCTCTACTTCCTGGTGGCCGGGCTCGCCCAGGTCAACTGCATGTACCAGTTCTCCCTAGACTGGTGTCGCCAAGCGTTCATTCAAGCAGTAGTCTCCGGAAGAAAAGAACAAGAAGAACCCGGCTCCAAAAGGGAGAAGATGTCTCTGAAGAAAATTCGTGATACTACAAACCTCTCAAAAGAACCAAAGTTAGAAAGTGAGGGAAATCTCTCCCAGAGATTCCACACTTGAACAGTGGAATCTGTTCAAATCCTCCTGTGTCATACAGTTTTAAGTATATTTATTTTTTTTAATTGTGGTAAAATACACAACATAGAATTTACCTTCTTCACCATTTTTAAGCGTCCAGTTCAGTGGCATGAAGTACGTTGACGTTATGCTGTGTTGTAATTTTAAGTCACAAAAAATATATGTGAGTAACCGAGCACCAACATGAGACGAACCAGCGACCACTGTTAACCCAACATCTGGCAGTTCTCAGGCCCTGGGCCTCACGGTCAGACACCGGGTCTCCAGGAGGGTGGGTCTGAGTGCCATCAGGACTCTACTCCTGAACCACCCACCTGTGACCAGGAGACAAGGTCACGCAGCAGAAAAGCCGGCCCACAAGGCGACCACTGCACTTGGAAGCCTAAAAATATCACTCTAGGTGGTATTTAATCAATGTGTGTGTGCACATGTGTGCTTGTGCACACGTGTGCATGTCCCTAAGGTCTAGCATTGGGTGTTCAGATTTACAGATTAGGATTACAATAACCACAGCAAATGCCTTCCACACATTCATTCAGAAATTACTGAGTACCAATTATGTGCTCAACATATAAGGACACAGCAATGAATTAAACGTCACACCTGACCTCAGCTGCTTTTAGTTTAACCCACATAGAAACATTGACTTGGAGCACCTTAAAAATCTCTCCGTGTTTTTCAGGGAAACATGTTTTTAATGGCTTTTAACAGAACCCAGAGCAGTACCTTTTACTTACTATTAAGTTTGACCTGGGGCATTATACCTTTAATATTTATCAACATGCCAGAATGTAGGAAGAGGTCCCATTCTTCATCCGGTAGGGACCCGATGTCATCACCATTAGCGTTATTTTGCATGATTGTGATGCAGAGCCGGAAGGAGAAGCACAGTTTATGTTGGTTAAATAGAGCTGGAGAGACCACCTAGGGGGGAAATGGAGAGTTAGCCCAGCCGGCCTAGATTAAATACATATGCAAAATTCACATGCAAGGATGTCTCACCTTAAAAATACTTCTTGTCAACACATCGATTGAATTTTTAAGATGTCTCTGGGAGAGATTTCCCTCACTTTCTAACTTTGGTTCTTTTGAGAGGTTTGTAGTATCACGAATTTTCTTCAGAGACATCGCCTCACTTTTGGAGCCGGGTTCTTCTTGTTCTTTTCTTCCGGAGACTACTGCTTGAATGAACGCTTGGCGAAACCAGTCTAGGGAGAACTGGTACATGCAGTTGACCTGGGCGAGCCCGGCCACCAGGAAGTAGAGCAGGGCACCTCGGGTAGCAATGGGGAGATAGCTTTTGCGCATCTCTTGGATTTGACTTTCCGCTTTTTCTGTTGCTTTGATGCGCTTTGAAATTTCATTTGAAGTCATTTTGGCTTTTCTTAAGATGTCTACGATTTCCTCATCATCTAACACACATTCTGAAGGCAAACAAAAAATGAATTTAAATAAAATCCACTGGAATATTAAATGCAGTTCCTTCATTCTGAAATTTTTCCATAAGAGTTTTTTACTTTCGGATTTTTGGTGCTTTTATTTGGGAGATGGGTCGCTCAATGAAGACAGGTTGTATTTCTGAATAATTTGGTTAATAGCACACATCCCCCCCATCTCTTCTTTATATTACTTTAGTAGATGGATGCTATTTTCATTATAAGCACATGATAAATAGCCACTTGGTCATAAGGAATGACCCATCATCTGCATAGACAAGGAGACAAAATTTCCAGAAAATAGCACATGCATTCTGATATCCTCTATTGTTTTCTATTTTACTAAACAATAAAGTTGGTAATGACCAACGGAATTGATTTCTCATTCCACGAACAGGTTGCAACTTACCTTTTGAAAAAAAGCATTGCTCTAGAAACAGAATAATTCTCTCCCTTTCAAACATTCAAGACGGTTCTCCTATTTCCATTATAAACTCTTCTATTTTATGAACATTCCCATTTTCCTCAAGTGCTTTTGTTAATGATACGATTTATAGACTCCTCACTATCCTTGATGCTTACACCACACACATGTTAGTTTGAAAAGAGTCCTCTTTTTTTTTTTTTAAAGATTTTATTTATTTATTTGATAGAGAGAGAGACAGCAAGAGAGGGAACACAAGCAGGGGGAGTGGGAGAGGGAGAAGCAGGCCTTCCGCTGAGCAGGGAGCCTGATGCGGGGCTCGATCCCAGGACTCTGGGATCATGACCCGAGCCGAAGGCAGACGCCTAACGACTGAGCCACCCAGGCGCCCCTGAAAAGAGTCCTCTTAAAGTGTGGTACTGATGTGGGAAACAAAGACAGAAGGAGATGTAGATACCATCAAATGTCCTTATAATCTGCAGCCCATTGCCAAGTATGTGAGGCAGGCTGAGCATAAGGTTCCTCCAGGAAGCTCCGACTGTCTTCACTGTCTACAAGTGAATGCCTTGCTAGAGGAAAAGCCACCTTGTTTTGACAATAGCAAGGCCTTCAGTGTCCTGAGGATCTTCTTTAGCATATGAAAGTCCTTTGGGAACTTTTCTTATTTTTACTTTCCACAACCACCAAGGTATATAACCAGTTGCTCCTCACAATCCCAGGACAGCAACTCTTTCTGCCCGCGGGTCCCATCCCCGTGCTTTAACAAAACCACCATTTTGCACCAAAGACGTCTCAAGAATTCTTTCTTGGCCATCGGCTCTGGACCCCATCAAACCTCACCAAAAACATTTAAAAATTACATCCATATAAAGAACTAAACACAGCTTCATATCATCATTGTAAGGAATTATGGGAGTATTACATTCCATGACCTGGATACCATATTCTGATTGATTTTAGTGAAGCTTTCTAGTAATGTTGGGACCTCGGCTGTGGGCTACTTCTTGGTCCCCACCCACCACACCATTGCCCACAAGGAGTGGGTGGCCACCCTAAAGATACACTATTTACAAAGAGACAGTAAGGATGATCTACTTTACTAAAACTTGGGAAAAGGGAGGAAAAATATGTACCAAATCGATCGAGGAGTCTTTTTATTTAGTTTTTTTTTCAAGAACAATTTATATTATAACCACTATTCGTAAAAGGTTAGTCTTTAAAAAAAATCTTATAGTGTGATGGGTGTTATCATAAACAACTTTCCATTTGTCTCATTAAATCTATCTTTTGTCCAATTTAGGCAAAAGTTACAGCCAAACATGACATCTGTCATACAGTGGTTCCTAGAACAGGAGAGGCTATACTTGTGAGTCTTGTTAGACCAACAGTCACCTCCTGTGGGTCACGTCATCCCTAGGTGTCCTGGTTTTGCTCCCTAAGGAGTGATCAGCTGCTGATTCATTCCAACCTTCCCAGAGAAACAGATGTGACAACCTGGTCCATGCAACCTCGTCCTAGTCTTGTCATGAACAGAAGCATGGCTCAGCTGTGTGTTACACAGAAATAGTGTATTAGGTGTAATAAAATAGGAAGGAATACAGTCAGAGCCTTAATAGGGAACTAAAGTATCAGAGAGACTTTCAAGCCCCACTGAGTCACCAGTTAAGAGAGAATGGCAATCCACCGCTAGATAAAAAGTATTTGATCACAGAGGAGTCAGGAGCTGCGATACTGTGACTTATAATAGGAAATATACAGGAGGTCTTCATCCCCATCTCTGGCTTAGAGTGCTGAATATCCTGGGGATGAGAGGAATAAAGGCATCTTTTGTTATGTTAATTAGGTGACTTTAGTCTCCCTCTAAGGGTGGGGTGGTTGCCAGGACAGTGACCCCCAACAGAGGCCCTGCATCCATCCTCCACATCTCGCCTCACACATCTCTTTCACCTGGCTGTTCCCAGTTCATCCTTTCAGAAGAGACCAGTAATCCAGTGAGCAAACAGGTGTCGTCCTGAATTCTAGTCTGCTAGCGAACTAATCAAACCTCAGGAGGGGCTTTGCTGGAACTTCTATCTGGAGCCCATGTGTGGGGAGGGGCAGCCTTGTCCGACTGAAACCTTAAGGGGTAGATCGGGTCAGAATGGAGTTGAATTGTAGGACACCCACCTAGTGTCTGAGCATTGTTATTAGCATGGGGGTACCCCATCCTGCATGTTGAAACTGGATATCCAGATCCGCTTTTAGGAGCAGATAGGTCAGTGTGCCCCCAGGAACTTATAGTGCTTTAGATTTGGTTGTTTAGAAGTTATATTGTTAAGATTTAAAGACTATGGTTTGTGTTGAAGAGGAAAATAATTTCTACTGCTGTTTTAATAAAACACCATATTTTAATGGGACACATATGAGTAAGTCACTGGATTCTGTCCTGGTATATTTTATTATTAATACTTGGGGAAAACCTCATCTTTTGGTCTCTACAATCTAACTTGATACATATAACAGATGTCAGATATATGACGGAGTGGCCTCCATAAGATTTTTCTTACATCTTGCATGATTATCTTGTGGCCAATGTCATACAGTATAATGAGCTAAAGCAGAGGTAGGAATGTAGGAACATCAACATCCACAGTGTTTTAATTTTAGAAATGGGGTGTTTCACCCATATTAATCAGTTATCTGGTGGAAATGCAGATCTGATATTTTGGGTACCAATCCAGAATGTGGTTCTTAGAGCTTTCATTCTGTCCTTCACAGAGGTACACAAAGGTCTCCTAACATCACTAAAGACCTGCACTAACCTTGTGCGTTCTGCAGTACATTCAACGTTTTTTCCTCTAGTTCTTCAAGGGTTGTAGCATCGAGGGAAATACTCTCCAATAGTTGGAGACGTTGATTTTCTAAGGAAGGAACTTCATGAGTTACTATGGTAGATAGGAGCTCTTCTTGCAAACCTTGGAATGTTACGGTGAAGTTGATCATTGTAACAAAGTTATACACAGACGGAGGAAAATGGGGGTTGTCTATTTCTGTAGATATGTATAACCTAAAGAATGAGAAAGGCACCGGTTAGTCAAAGGGTTTGTAGAGGAAAAAAAAAATGAAACTAATTAAATAATGGAAAAAATATTTCTCCTGGAAGTAAAGAAGGTTAATTTTTAGTGTTGTTCAGCCTTGTACACAGAAGAAGCTCTCGCTTTACACCGTGTGAATACGTTTGCTATTTACAACTTTAAGAAATACAACCATAGATGATGTCCCTACTATATCTGGTGAAACATTGGGACAGAGGAAAGTAAAGTGCTAGTTAGTAGGAGCTTTGACCCGCCGCTAGATGATTGTCAATACTGTGGTTTTGCTGTGAGTGAGAGCCTGGTGGAGGGTGTGAGTAAAGGGAGGACGACCTTCCCTAAAGGGACCACTGCTGCCCGGAGAGTAACCTGGGGTGGGAGGCTGGGGGGTGGGGGAGAAGGAAGCCAGGAGACTGGTTTGTGAGTGAGTCTGGAGTGGGGTGGTCCGGGGTGGGAGGGAGGGTCAGGAGTGATTCTTGACCTTGCTTAGTCTCCCCAGCAACTCAGCCCAGCAGGGACAGCTCCTCGTTCCATTTTAGGAAGAGAGGTTCAATAAGTCGCTCACATCCCGTGGCCACACAGTGACAGAGTGGGGAGCCGGGTCCTGTCTGCCCCCCACACGGGTGCCCTCCACCACCTCCTCAAACACACAATCGAATATGGGCACCAGGTGGGCAATTCGGCAAAATGTTACATCATTAGCCTTCCTAGAGCTGTTGCTCAAGCAATAATGTTCAGGGAGAAAGGAAGAACCGTGTCCTGCAGAACGCTGCGCCCTGGAGAGTGTTTGTCACATTGAAGGGGTGTCATGTCCTTGGAAGAAAGAATCCTGTTGGTTTAGCCTAGTGCTTTTAAGAAGTATGGGGCCCTTTCTTGAGTGACACCCTAGAATGTTGTTCTGAGGAACATACTTTGCAAGAAGGAGGGAGGCTGGGCGAGGGGAGTCCAGGCTGTGTAAGTGTGGTGAGGGGCAAGGCTGCGGAGCCCGGCCCGGGGGCAAGGACCCACTGACCACACAAGCACTCAGAGTGTTAGGACCCCTGTAAGGCAGTGGAGTGCACTGGCTGGGCACCAGTAAAACCCATCTTCCAGCTCCCCTTGCTGACGACTCGCTCACACAGTGAATTCAAGGGCAGAGTGGGAATTATATTTTTGTGGTAAGTAAATCTGACTCTATAAAAGAGCTTTGTGACGTTGGCAAGGGGGGGAGGTGGGAAGGTGGGGGTTGCATTCCGGAAGGTCCCTTGCTGCTGGGAACATGGATACAATGTTTTTATCAGCCCACACGGAATCTCTTTTTGCTCTGGATATCCAATATGGATTTTGTTTTTTAAAGGAGCAGAAGGTTTTCCTGCTGAAATAAAATGTTAGGCAAAGAGATCAACTGGAGTTCTTGTTGATCAAGTGGGGCCAGGCTTTGTACACCTTCTGGGGACTCCCCCTGGACCTGTGGGTCTTATCAGGAACAGCATGGAGAATGCTGGTTTGGAAAGCTTGATAAACAAAAGTCAGTTCTCTATTCCGTGTGCTGATGAGGGCAACCGGACACGCAGACAGACAAAATGTTCACAATGCAACCTCACTCTTTCCTCCGGGAGAAGCTTACCGGTATGGAAATACAGGCCTTCAATAGTATTGTCTTAAAAAATATAAACATTTGACTCAATTTCATAGGTAGAGACTTTACCTAAATTTGGAATTGTATTCAATCTCAGAATCATCAACCCTTATGAAATACTGTCCTCTTCTCTGATGGATATCCTTCTTCAAAATTGCCTTCAAACTTGGAGCTAATGTTTCAGGGAGATTCTGAAAAACCCAACAGACATAAATAAAAAGCTCATCTTATAACAAATCAATCAGTTGAAAAGACAGAGCATTTAAAAAAATGTATATCTGGGGCGCCTGGGTGGCTCAGTCGGTTGAGCGTCTGACTCTTGAATTTAGGCTCAGGTCATGATCTCGGGGTTGTGGCATCGAGCCCCACATCGGGCTCTGTGCTCAGCAGGGAGTCTGCTTGCGATTCTCTCTCTCTTTACCTTTGCTGCTCCCCCTCCCCCACTCTTTCTTGTCTCTAAGAAAAATAAAAAGTAAATTTTGTTAGTATTTGGACACCAAAGAAAGCCTGATCTGAGAGAATTGACCATTGAAAAGTCACTGTATTTATTATTTTATTATTTTTTAAAAAAGATTCTACGTATTTTGAGAGAGAGAGAGTGCATGTGCAAGGGGGGAGGGGCAGAGGGAGAGGGAAAGAGAGACTCTCCAAGGAGACTCCCCGCTGAGCACGGAGCCTAACACAGAGCTCGATCCCACGACCCCGAGATCAAGACCTGAGCCGAAATCAAGAGTCGGACGCTCAACCGACTGAGCCACCCAGGCGCCCCTGTTTATTTATTATTTTTTCCCTGACAAAGTTACCTGTAACTCAAAGTTTTTAGTTTCTATGCTTGGGGCACACAGTGTATATGTCAGCTGCATGGAATTAGGGAGTGAGGCCATTCTGCCCAAATACCTGCAAGAGGACACTCCCTCCTGTTTTCATAGCATTTTCAATTGTTTGGATGTAACCGCTGTCCTTGATGGAGAGCTCCTGTAGCCGGGGCCCTTCCATCTGCCGGATCCAGTTGTGCGCCTGCTTGTGCGGGTCAATCAGCAGCGGCCACTGCAGGCCGTTCTTGATCAGGATGGCGTTCTCGGTTGAATACTGACCAAGGGGGAGCCCCTGAGAATGCCATCGACCGATCTGGAACAAGAGCATTGGTACCTTACGGTTTCATACACTTGTTCACATCTTCAGGATCCTACAGGGTCACTGCCTTTAGAAAAATCAAATACTCTTTAAAAGGACGAAGGAGATGAACAATTTAAAATGCTGGGATACGAAATTTTGGTAAGATGAGTAATTATTCACTAAGTGACATTTTTCTGTTCATCAGGAAGGACAAATGCCCATCACAACAAAGATGATATGGGAGAGAGTTAAGAACTGTTCCCAAGGATCTTGGGCTCGAATGCACATATGAGCCATGCAAGAACACAGAATGATACAGAGGTAATTACAGTTCCTCTGTTGCACACCCACCTCCTGCCAAGCACACACGTACATTATCTAGCTCATTTGCGACAAAAACGCTCATTTCTTGGGAGGAGGAACCAGGGTCTGCCCATGGTCATCCTGTCAGAGGAAGACGCAGACCCAGGGTTTGACTCAGACGCTGACTCCAAGACTGATAAACTTCTCATCCTTACTGAGTCTTTGCCTGCAGCTCTGACTTCAGGGCAGTACCAGCAGGTTGGGAGGAAAAAGCCAGGAAGGCTCATGGAGGTCAGAGAAGGAACAGGACCCGGGGACGGTCCAGTGAAAGGTGGCAGAGCGCCCCCGGAGAAGCCAAGGATACGTGTCAGTTTTTAAAGGAAAGTAGTATTTTGTCTAAGCCTGTGAAGAACTGCATGCTCTTAAAGTCTACACAAAAGGAAACCGGACAGGGGATGAAGAGTCCTGAAACCCAGGAGTAGCTCCGTCTGCACAGGTGCAGGAGAACCAAGGTCAGCGCGGGGAGAGAGACAAACTTCTGACCCAAGAGTTTCTATTCTAAAAAAACCAATCAGGGGGCGCCTGGGGGTCTCAGTCGGTTAAGCAGCTGCCTTTGGCTCTGGTCATGATCCTGGGGTCCTGGGATCGAGCCCCGCGCCGGGCTCCTTGCTCAGTGGGGTCTGCTTCTCCCTCTCCCTCTGCCTGTCCCTCCCCCTGCTTGTGCTCCCTCACTCTGTCAAATAAATAATCTTAAAAAAAATCATTTTGACTTCCATGCTTTTCTTTATTGTTTTACCAAAGTCCTAAATGCTCTAATTTCATTTTGCTAATTTTGAAACTTTAGATAAAGGCAATCTTCAAGATATTCCCTTTTCTGTCTGACCTCATCTGTGTTGTTTTATAACTGTATTTATTCATTCTCACTGCTGTATTTACGAACACACCTAGATTTATTTATCCATTCTACTGGTGAGGGCATTTAGAGTATTTCTCAAGTTTTAGGCTATTATGAATAATGCTACAATGAACATTCCTTTATATTCTTTTGATCAACTTACATATGCATTTCTTATGGATAAACACCTAGCAATGTCGGTCATGGGTTTTTTTTTTAAGTAGGCTACACACCCAGCATGGAACCCAACATGGGGCTTGAGCTCACGACCCTGAGATCAAGACCCAAGCCGAGATCAAGAGTCGGATGCTTAACTGGCTGAACCACCCAGGCACCCCAGGGATGTGTATTTTTAATACTTGTAGCTAAAGTCAGTTTTCTAAGATGATTTTGGCATTTTATATTCTCACCAGCAGTGTATGAGAATTTCTGTTACTTCATATCCATGTTCTTAAAATTATTAGTCTTTCAAACGTTAGTCCTTTTGGCTGATGTGTTACCATATCTCATTTTAGATTTAACTTTCATTCCCCTAATGAATAATAAGGTTAAGCACCTTTCAACTGTTTATTGGTGATTTTGTGAGCCGCCTGTTCAAGGTTCTTACCTACTTATTTACTGGCTTGTATGTCTTTTGCTTACTGATTGGTAGTAGTTCTTTTTATTGCAAATATCCTCTTGTATTCATTGACTTCTCTTTATATCTTCTGAGTGCTATCTTTTGATGAACAGAAAGTCTAAATTTTAATGTAATTCAATTAATGTTTTCCTTTATGGTTAGTTCTGTTTAAAAAATCTTTTCTTGGGGTCATGAACATATTCTCTTAAATTATGCTTTACTAACTTGCCTTCCACAGTTAGGTCTACAATTCAGTTGCAATTGAATTTTTATATATGGTGTGAGGTAATGATCAAATTCTTTCTTTTTTCTTTCTTTTTTTTGCTTCTGGATATTCACTATTTATTGAAAACACTACCCATTCCTCACTGCACTACGGTATCAGCTTTGTCATAAATCAGATGTCCACATACGGGTGGGTCTGTTTCTGGGCTCTGTGTTCTGCCCCATTGGTGGTGGTGTTTGTTCTGCACTGGGACACAAATGGATAAATAATTCCACTGTCCCAACTAAATGTCCTAAATGTCGATATTTGATACAGCAAGTCCCTCCACCTTGTTCTTCATCAACAATATCTTAGACACGTTGGCTCTCTGCCTTCTCTTTTAACTTTCAGAATCAGTTTGTCAGGTAAGCACATACATGCTTCCCTACCTCCTGGAATGCTGATTGGGATTACACTGGATCTACAGTCCATTTGGGAAGAACTGGCAGCTTCAGGATACTGAGTCCTTTAGTTGATGAACATGGCATAACTCTTCACTTATTTAGGTTTCTTAAAATTTATCCCAATAGTTATTTTATAGTTTTATTTCTGTAAGTTTCACACAACTTCTTGATGGATTCATTTTGATGCTATGATAAATGGTATCTACAAACATTGTGCACCTTGTTTGTTGCTGGTGTAGAGAAATGCAATCAGTTTCTGTATACTGACTTCAATTCCAGAAACATTGAGAAACTTTACTAAACTTTTATGAATTCTCATGATGTATCTATAGATCCTCTTGGATTTTCTAGGTACATATCTGCAAGAATTTCTATTTTTTGTTTCTTCTTTTCCAATCCTAATATCTTTTTCTTGCCTTACTGCACTATCTAGGATCTCTGCTAGGGTGTTAGATACAGTGGAGATGGTGGATATGTTTCTAGTCTCAAAGGAAAAACTTTGACCAATGCTTCATTTTTTCAATTCTGATTGCTTCTCTGACCTATCGTTAGTTTGGGAGTGTATGTCCTAATTTCCAGAAATATGGGGATTTTCAAAGAAACTTTTAATTATTGACTTCTAGCTTAGTTGCCTTTTGGACAGATAACGTACTCTGTGATTTCAGTCCTTTGATATTTGTTGAAACTTTTTTGTGGTTGGTTATATGGTCAGTTTTGGGCACTGTTCTACATGTGCTTGCACAGAATGTGTAGGTTTCAGGTGTAGGCTGCAGTGTCCTGTGTATGCTCATTAAGTCTGTTTGCTGATTATGTTGCTCAAATTTTCTCTATTCTTACTCATTTTTGTGTTCTTTTTCTATGAGTTATAGGAAGAAGTGTGTTAAGATCTTTCACTAAGATTGTAGATTTGTCCATTTTTATCTATATTTCTTTTAATGTGTGCTTTAAAATTATTTGAAGTCTTATTAGTAGGTACAAATTCAGAATTGATAAAACATTCTTGGAGACTTAAACTAATTCTTATTGTAACATAAACTTATTTAATTCTAGTAATCCTTTTTTGCCTTATAGTCTATTTTGTCCTTTTTTGGTAATCTGTGGTAAATTTCCTCCCATTTTTTTTTTTTACTGTCAACCTTTACATTTTAGATGTGTCCTTTCTAAATAACTTATAGTTTCTGTTTTATGCTTTGGTTTATATTTTTATATGGTCTTAGAATCTTACCCTTTTAAGTGGACCTTTTAGACCACTTACATCTAATGTAATTATTGATATATTTGGGTTTAAGTTGGTTATTAGCATTACGAAAATGAGAAGCCAGTATTTGCTTCTGAGATTGGATGGTCAGTTTAAGTTGGGTTATCAGTGGGGGAATCAATCTAAAATTACTCTTTGGGGATGAATAAAAAAAAGGTGTATTTCTTTTTTATCCCCTCAACATAGATAGATAGACAATAAATATTTATTGATAAATGTGAGGTCTATGTTTTTGGCTCTTTCTAAGAATACTACCTGTGGCTCAGTAAGTTCACCTATTTTACTTTTTTTTTAAAGATTTTATTTATTCATTTTTAGAGAGAATGAGTGAGCGAGTGTAGGGAGGGGGAAAGGGAGAGAGGGCCTGATCCCACAACCCTGAGATCATGACCTGAGCCAAAATCAACAGCCAGATGCTTAACCGACTGAACCACCCAGGCGCCCTGAGTTCACCAATTTTATTAATGAAAGGGGCTTCTGGGACAGAAACTGGGCAAGGCAGTAGGATTACAGTGAGTAAGAGGATTTTCTGTGACTTTTGCCCAGAGGATGATAAATAAGAGACGTAACTAGCTGCAGCATTAGAACTATAATTTAAAAAAAAAAAAATTTTAAAGACCTGGAACAAATTATAGTATTTTCCTTTATCAAAACAATTTGGGGAAAGGATCCCAGTTTAAAAAAAAATGCATTTGGGCGCCTGGGTGGCTCAGATGGTTGAGCGTCTGCCTTCGGCTCAGGTCATGATCTCAGGGTCCTGGGATCGAGTCCCGCATTGGGCTTCCTGCTCCTTGGGAGCCTGCTTCTCCCTCTGCCTCTCTCTCTCTGTCTCTGTCTCTCATGAATAAATAAATAAAATCTTTAAAAAAAAAAATGCATTTACACCCAAAATTCAAATCAACAACAGCCACTTAACTGGATAATAGAAACATGTTACTACCTCATGTTTTTGTGCCATAATTTCAATTAAGGAAAAGTTAGGAGACAAATAAATGTTGTTTTTAGGGCAAAGAGTCTCCCATTTGTTCACAATTAACTGGCGAAATTCTGCTGTTAACACTCCAGTGTAGACAATGCACGCTGCAGAAATAAGTATGTCGCCCAAAATTCCTTCCAACTTCTTGTCTATTTGATTGATTGTTTCTTGCCATCGAGTCTAAATGTTAAAATAAAAATGAGTTCTTGTTATTTGACATAAAATATACTATTATGAGACATTTAAGATATTCATGATCTCCAACTTGGATCCAGCATTGCTATTACTATTACTGTTCTCATGCTGTGTTTGCATTAAAATTAGTATTGGATAATATTATAAAACAAACAGTTTTCTAAGGGGAACATGAGTCCTATTCTTGGATTTGTCAACAATGTTACATTTGTTAGCACCGATAGCCACGTCAAGTCCTCTGAGTCATAAAGCAGGATAATTTTTAAATAACAATTCATTATATTATTAATGGGGTTCCATAATACTAGTTACTGATATTTATTAAATCCTTCCATGTCTAACAGGAATTTTACTTTGAAAATCTCATTTGACACTTTCAATATCCTATTAAGTAAAAGCCATTTTAAGATCAGAAAGTTGAAACTTAGAGAAGATCAGCAGAAATTTAAAAAAAGAGATAAAAGAGGTCTGAGGATTGACAGAGAAGAATAAAATGTTCTTCTTCCTTATGACATCTCATCCCCTTTAGCCACTCTTGGTTTATGCATTTGGCTTGGGTTGTCCCTGTGCTCAATAGGGAAAGCTTACTGACAGTTTACCATGGACCTCATCAGACTGGAGAACTGCGGTCTGGGGAGCAAGAGAAGGTCAGGTTGGATCCTTATAGTCTGTTGCCTCTGGGTTAAGACACTTGACCAGAACTCCTTTATTTTTATCACGAGTGCCTACTGATCTCAGTAAAAAACAACTGGATGATAAGATAGTTTTAGGGAGTACATAATACAACCTTGGGTGAAATAGCATCTTGGGGCTTGTCAAGCCCAGGAGAAATTACTGAAGGAGATACAGAGCCAAAGAGAGTCATGCCTTCTCATCCTCCAGCGTGGTTAGTAGGATAGATGCACACTGCAGGCGCTTGGTGGCCAGTTTTCTTCTGTTGGCTAAGAGTTGTTTTTCAGCAACTACGTCTTTGTAGGCTGCTTGCAAAAACAGCAGATGTTCTTCAACCTGAAAGAATTCATTCATTATTGAGACACACTACTACTCTCATTTTGCCTCAAGAGTTTAATTGTCACTTATATAAATACAGTGCATGGCCACTTCATTTTCACATCCTGGAAAATCTTCCTGGAGAGATGGGCTATGTTAACAATAAAAATGTAGTCAGTAAATAAATGATTCCTTGATACTCCAGTTTGTTTTTAAAATGCCACTTTCCTCAACAGGCTTTCGTACAAGCTCAGCATTTGAAGATTCATCATTTTCTGATTTCTTTTTCACACAGAGAATGTTATATCCAGTTTCCTTCTCCAAGAAAATGACTGAACTTTCTCATTCCACATACACTGACCAGCCCGGAGGAACTAATGGGGTTTTGAAGTGAGGCTGGTAGGATAAAGGGGCCTTAAACTATGCCTGGGCTGTCGGGGGAAAGGTATCGTCATGAATAGCTGACAAAATGATATTCTTAAATTAGTACTTATCTTGATAATGCCTTTGCTCAAAAGCATTTGGTGAATTTCTATAGAAATGATCACCCACGGATATGGCCCGAAGTTTTGGCCCCATCAATAAGAGCCTCCCTGATCCGATCCCAACCTCCCTCCCCAGAGTCGTCTCCTTTCCAATAATATCACCCTGTAGCCAGACTGCTTTCTTCCGCATTTTGTCCACACTTCTTAAATGGTCTGGCCTCTGGGGTTTGGCTCACATCCTTCCCTTACCCTGAAATCGTTCCTTAAAGGGATGTAGATCCAAGGCATTCTTTAAAATCCATATTACACTCTAGCTGTCACGAAGCCTCAGTCCTGTCACATCCACACTGACGTACTGTTTATAACAGTCGTGAGAAGTAATTATTAATTGCCTGATATTATCTCTTGGGTTGTGCCTTATTATCTTTATATTATCCTTATATTGCTATTTATATTTTATATTTATATTTTTGAAAGATGTTTGTGTCTTCTCAAAATCTTTGAAGACAGTGTTTAGCATAGAGACTTGAGCACAGTATGTTCATGAAATCATATGTACAAAATTGTGCTTACTGAACGCAGTTTCTAATTTATAATTCCCCCCCCTATTCTAAAGATGTTATCCTGGTGAAAATACCTAATTAAAAAAATATATATACACATTAGCTACTTTTGGCATGATTACTCTAATAATTTATTTATTCCTGGTTCACCCATAATAATTACTCAGTTGTTTCTACTCTAATATAAAATGCTGTTTTTGTTTGCTTGCTCATGCCCTCTGATTTGATTATTCTGAGAAAATGTTCTTGCTACTCATGACCTAGTGAGCTATATAAATATTCAAGTGTAGGATTTACTGATTCAATTAAACACAATGAAATTCCTTTTTCTTTTTTTTTGCTTTGTATTGTAATTTGATTTCTTTTAGTTCCAGTGTAGTTAACGTACAGTGTTATACTGGTTTCAGGTGTACAATATAGTGACTCAACAATCTATACATTGCTCAGTGCTCCTCACAAGCACACTCCTTAATCCTCATCCCCTATTCCCCCACTCCCCTACCCACCTCCTCTTTGGTGACCATCAGTGTGTTCTCTAGAGTTAACAGTCTGTTTTTTTGGCTTTTTCTTTGTTCGTTTGTTTCGTTTCTCAAATTCCACATATGAATGAGATCATGTGGCATTGATCTTTCTCTGGCTGATTTCGCTTAGCATAATACCCTCTAGTTCCATCCACGTTGTTGCAAATGGCAAGATTTCATTTTTTATGGCTGAGTAATATTTTATAGTATATATACCACATCTTCTTTATCCATTCATCAGTCGAAGGACACTTGGGCCGCTTCCATATCTTAGCTATTGTAGATAACACTGCTATAAACATCGGGGTTCATGTATGTTTTCCAGTTAGTGTTTTCACATTCTTTGGGTAAATAACCAGTAGTGGAATTACTGATCATATGGCAGTGTTCAGTACCACTGATCCATACTGTTGTCCACAATGGCTGCACCCAGTTTGCATTCCCACCAACAGAGCATGAGGGTTCCCCTCTCTCCACATCCTCGCCAACACCTGTTGGCAACTCTCCGAGGTCAACAATGAGTGATGCTGAACATCTTTTCATGTAAACCCATGAAATTTCCTTTTATGATAGGCACTATGTTCCCCAAAGGAACATTTTTAATGAATGCTCATGTGATATCATATGTTGTGGCATTATTTATTTCCCCTAAAGTTCCCTAGATTTTTTGGAAATATTTTTTATATTAGGGCCCAGGTGAATAAAAGACCTATTTTTTTAAACATAACTGAGTGAGAAGAAAATCTCAACGAAGGGCTTCAAACCAGTGGAGTTAACTACTACAGTCACTTTTAAAACACTAAGTGTATCCATTAACATTTTATATACATTTCAAATATACTTTTTTGAGTTCAATGAGTTAAAATATTAGAAACTTCTCGTGAAGGCCCTGGTTGCGAGCTGGAAGGGAATGTAGCCTATTAATAAGTACGGTTCTGACTGAAATTTAGAGTTTACTTTTTTCTGTCCTACCACTTGATAATAGGAAAAACAAATGGACAATATTATAAATAAGAATTTGTTGGGTAAATGAATGAAAATACAAAAAATACACAAAAAAATCATGAATATCAGGAGAACTGGAGTAAATACCAAAATCGAATATACCAAGCATGAAAGAGTATGTAATAGGGAGCTCTTGTCCAAGGTGGCGACGGAGGAGGCATCTGAACTCACCTGCGCCTGCGGATGCACCAAACCTACAGCTACGCATGGAACAATTCCCCATGAAAGAAATCCAGAAACTAGCTGAGCAACTCCAACACACTGGGCCAATGAAGAGTCCTCACATCCCAACAGGAAAGGCTGAGACACACTCTCACCATAATCCTCACCCCTGGCACAGTGACACAAACAGGAGAACTCACAACTCCAGCTTCCCCCTGAGGGCAAAGGTTTTGAACCCAACCTCTAGTGTCTCTACTTTTAAGAGTGAAAGCCAAGAGCGCTTGCATCCCGACTGGAGCAAATACTTTCTAACTGGCTCCCCCCACCCCCCCGCCTCAGCACCCCAGGGCTCATCATAGAGGAGGCAGATAGAAATGCCTGTCTCCCAGCTATTTGAAAGAGGCTGCGGCCTGAGGGTCAGGCTTCTAGTTTAGCACACGTTTAGGGGTTGACTGTGATCCTCCCCAGGGACCTGGGAGGCTGGTAGGTGCCCCGGCGTTGGTGGCAGTGGCCCAGAGGATATACCACTTGAGCACCTGTCTCTGGTGGCTTGTGTTTGTGGGTCCCATAGAACTAGAGCAAACCAAGAAACGGTTCTTAACTGGCTCAGTGCCGAGGGCTCAGACAGAAACACCCATCTCCCAATCTGTCCCTGAAAAAAACTACTTATACAGGATTCCAGGGAGCCTGATCTAGGTGCTGACTCACATGCTCCCCTTTGGGACACTAATTCTGAATTCTGGGAGCCTCTAAGAACAACAAGGCTGCCTGGGCACTGCCATGGTGTGGGAGAAAAGCAGGAGCTCAGGCTGGACTGAGGAGGTTTTTATATCTTATACAAGACCATTCTGTCAGGATAGGGAGAGGTGGTTATTTTATCAAATGCACAGAGATCAACACAGAGAGTCAAGGAAAATAAAGAAACAGAATTATCTATTCCAAACCACAGAAAAATAAAATAACTGACCTGAAAAATAAAACTATAGACTAATATCCTTGATGAATATAGATGCAAAAATTCTCAACAAAATACCAGCAAACTGAATTCAAGAACATATTAAAAGAGGGGCGCCTGGGTGGTTCAGTCAGTTAAGAACACTTTAAAAGAGTTGTACACCATGACCATGTAGGATTTATCCCTGGGATGGAAGGATGGTTTAACATATGCAAATCAATAAATATGTTACATCATATTAAGAGAATGATAAAAGTCACGTGATCATCACAATAAATGCAGAAAAAGCATCTGACAGAATACAATATCCTTTCATGATAAAAAACATCAACAGATTGGGTATAGAAGGAACAAACCTTAAGATAATAAGGACAGTTAATACAAACCCATAGCTAACATTATACTCCACGGTGAAAAACTGGGAGTTTTTCCTCTAAGATCAGGAACAGGATAAGGATGCCCACTCTCATCATTCTTACTCACTATAGTATTGGAAGTCCTGATTAGAGCAATCAGGCAAGACAAAGAAATAAACAGCACCCAAATCAGAAAGAAATTAAGTAAAAGTGTCACTATCTGCAGATGACATGCTTTTGTATATAGAAAATCCCAAAGACTCAACCAAAAAACTGTTAGAACTAATCAACAATGTTAGTGAAGTTGCAGGATATAAGATCAATATCCAGAAATCAGTGGCATTTCTATACAATAATAAAAACAGTATGGTACCACCATAAAATAGACACACAGACTAATGGAACAGAATAGAGAGCCCAGGATCAAATCCTGGCATATATGGTCAACTAATATTCAACAAAGGGACCCAAGACAACCCAAGGGGGAGAGGACAGTCTCTTCAACAAAAGGTGCTGGGAAAACATGCAGAACAATGGAAATGGACTCCTACCTTATACCACTCACACAAATTAACTCAAAATAAATCAAAATACCATAAAACTGATACCATAAAACTCCTAGTAGAAAATGTAGGGAAGAAACTGCTTGATATTGGTCTTGGTGATGATTTTTTGGATATAACACCAAAAGCATAAACAACAAAAGCAAAAATCACCAACTGGGAGTACATCAAACTTCAAAGTTTCTGCAGAGCAAAATAAACAATTAACAAAATGAAAGGGAAGAAAATGAAAGGGTAACCTACAAAATGGGAGAACAGTTTTGTAAAACAGTTGGATAAGAGGCTAATATCCAAAATATATAAGAACTTCTACAACTCAGTAACAAAAAACCAAACCATTTGATTAAAAAATGAGCAGACGATGGAGCACCTGGGTGGCTCAGTTGGTTAAGTGTCCGACTCTTGATTTAGGCTCGGGTCATGATCTCAGGGTTGTGGAATGGAGGCCCACAACAGGCTCTGTGCTTGGCGAAAAGTCTGCTTGGGATTCTCTCTCCCTTTCCCTCTGCCCCTCCCCCCACCCATGCGTGCTCTCTCTCTAAATAAATAAATAAATAATAAACCTTTAAAAAAATGAGCAGAGGAACTAAACATTCCAAAGAAGACATACAGATGGCCAACAGACATGAAAAGATACTCAACATCACTGATCATCAGAGATGATTCAAATTAAAACCAGAGATATCACCTTACACCTGTTAGAACAGGTATCATCAAAAAAACAAAAGATAACAAATTTTGTGGCCCCATACAAATTTTAGGATTGTTTGTCCTATTTCTGTGCAAAATGCCTTGGAATTTTGATGGAGATTGCTTTTAATCTGTAGCTTGCTTTGGGTAGTATAGACATTTTACAATATTAACTCTTCCTAGCCATGTGCACAGACTCTTTTTCCATTCATTTGTGTCTTATTCCTTTTCTTTCATCAATGTCTTACAGTTTTCAGAGTACAGGTCTTTCACCTCCTTGATTAAATTTATTCTTAGGCATTTTATTCTTTTTGACACAATTGTCAATGTGATTGTTTTCTTAATTTCTTTTTCAGATAGTTTGTTGTTGGTGTATAGAAACACAAGTGATTTTTGTATATTGATTTTGCATTTTGCAACTTTACTGGCTTTGGTTATTCTACCAGTTTTTTTGGTGGAATCTTTAGGAATCTAAGTTAATGGTTTGTTAATGTTGGTGATCTTTTCAAAGAACCAACTTGGTTTCACTGATTTTCTCTTGTCTTTTGATTCTTTATTTTGTTTACCTCTGCTCTAATATTTATTATTTCTTTCCATCAGCTATATTTGGGGTTTAGTTTTTTCTTTTTCTAGTTCCTTAATGTATAAAGTGAGGTTGTTGATTTGAGATCTTTCTTCTTTTTAATGTAGCAATTTATAGCTATGAATGTCCCTCTGAGCACTGCTTTTGCTACATGCCATAAGTTTAGACACATTGTGCTCTGTTTTCATTTGTCTCTAAGTATTTTTGACCTTACCTTATGATTTCTTCTTTGACCCATTGATTGCTTTGGAGTTTATTGTTTGATCTTCATGTATTTGTGAATTTTCCAGTTTTCCTCTGTTCTTGGTTTCAAACTTCATTCCATGTGGTCAGAGAAGATACTTTATAGGATATCTGCCTTTAAGCATCCATGAAGACCCTTTCTGTGTGTTCTGCTGTTGGGTGGAGTGTTCGTAGTGTCTGTAGGTTTCACTGGTTCTCTGTGCTCTTCATTCCTCTCTTTCCTTATCTGCTGTCTGATTGTTATATCTCAGACCTTTGAAAGCTCTGATTTTTGCTTGTTTAGGCTTTTGAGTTTATTTTTAGTTGACTTTTAGTGACTAAGAATTTCCTGAAAACCGGGCACATCATTCAGGTTTTTAAATTTATTTACATAGAATTTCTAATAATTATTGAAAAACAACAAATGGACATTTCCATTAAATTAAAAATTACAGGTGAGCCTTGAACAACACAAGGGTTAGGGGTGCCAACCCCCCATGCAGCTGAAAATCCACATATAACTTTTGACTCCCCAAAACTTATTTACTAATAGCCTGCTATTGAGTATTACTGATAACACAAAGCGTATTTTGTATGTTGCATATACTATATATTATATACTTATATATAGTATAAGAATATACTATATTCTTATAATAAAGCAAGGTAGAAACAAGAAAATATTATTAAGAAAATCATAAGGCAGAGAAAATACATTTACAGTGGTGTGCTGTATTTACTGAAAACAATCCAGGTAGAAGCGGACTTGCTGTTCTAGCCCGTGTTGTTCAAAGGTCAACTGTATTTCTTCTCAAACTCCCTGTTTACCAAGTTGTATAATGTGTAATTTTTTTCTTTAAATTATGAAGCAAACTTTTTCCTTTCCTGGGTCTGCTCCTTTCATTAACTTGTGTGTGGGACAGGCTGATGGAGCCATGCCAGTTGTTAAAATACCGAACTATTTCTGCAGTGGTTGCTACGTGGTCCTGTGCCATGCCCTGGAGAGCACCCCCAGCCCTGCCACTGCCTGCCCCGGCCCTCTCCCCACTATTCCATCTTCGCGGGTGGCCTCCAAGACCCCACGCTGCTCTATGACTGGTTGGCATCTGGGCTACACCAGCTACTGGATGGTTTGCGTATCACTCATGCAGAGGAGTGTTTTTAGTGGAGCAGGTAAGTGATTTTGAGTTAGACAGGCCTGGGTTAGAGCGTGGGCACCACTTAGAGGTTCAAGGTGTTGGACAAATTTACTGAATCTTTGACTTTAGTTTTCTCCCTTGGAAACATCTCCTTCTGAAAGCTGACTTGAGGATAGACTTCGAAAGACTGTATAAAGCCTCCATGTGGCACTTGGAACACAGTATATGCTCCGTAAATGTTAGCTACTAAGCAACACATCTCTAAATATGACTATATACGTACATCGTAAGTGGCAACAAAGAATTAGCAATAAAATGATATATCAATATAAAATACATTTAGTAAAAATTTGTTAATTTTCTCCAAAAATGTCCAATACTCTTTATACAGCTGAGTTTGCAAGAAATGCCTAGGGGGCAGGCAGGTGACATAAATGTTTGAAGTGAGTTGGGGGCTTCTTATAGCCAAGTGAGAGTGCCAGCCCATGGCTGCCAGATCTTCTGAATTTTCAAGTGAAGACCGAAATTCAAATTTTAAGTGAAATCCCCACATTTTACAATGTGGATAGCTACATCAGAATGGGGGCGGGGGTAGGGAGAGAGACCATCCACGCAAACACAAGACACCAAGAAGCTGGGCTGCATTTCCCTGCTGGGTCACCCCCTCTCAGAATGCCTGTGCGCGGGCTGGCGACCTCGCTCTCATAATGATATCCCTGTTTTAACTTCATACCGAGAGGTTTAAGAAATAACCATGTCTCCACAAAACAACAGAGTAATTGATACAAACAGGTTAAGGACAGTTTTTTAAGATCACAGATTGATATTGGGTAAGCCTTTGGTAGACAGAAGTCACAAAGCTCTCCTGGGAGAAATCTGGTGAAATGGTAAATTAATATATTAATGACACGGTAATAATTAGCATTATTGAGTGTTTTATTATGTGGAAGTCACCTTTACATATAGTCCCTGTATTATTTACTCAATCACAGTCTCTTCACTACCTTTATTATCCTCATTTTATCCTAAACTGATAAGACTCTACTGAGGTAATGACCTTTTCTTGGTGTTTCTGACTACTTCACAGAAAGCTGTTGCAAGCTTAACAAGCAAACAAATGTCTTACCAGCTGCAAACCTCTTTGTTTCTCGGCCAACCTTTGTTGTGCAATTTTAAGGACATTTTGAGCTTCAGCTACTTGGATTTGCTTAGGGCCCACCACCTAAAAAAGAATGCCACAACATTTAAGTGTTAAAAAATGTCAAGTTCACTGTTAAAAATGTCCCTTATGTTTGAAAGACATTTGTTAAGTGTCAATTCTTACAATTGGCTTTCCTAGAATTATATGTACAAGAGGGATATCCAGGGGCGCCTGGATGGCTCTGTCGTTAAGCGTCTGCCTTCAGCTCAGGTCATGGTCCCAGGGTCCTGGGATTGAGCCCCGCATCGGGCTCCCTGCTGGAAGCCTGCTTCTCCCTCTCCCACTCTCCCTGCTTGTGTTCCCTCTCTCACTGTGTCTCTGTCAAATAAATAAATAAAATCTTTAAAAAAAAAAAAAAAGAGGGATATCCAATAATTTAATATGGTGAAACATGAAAACGAGCAAATAAAACAAGAGCATAGTTGCCATAAATAAAATAAAATCATAAAAAATAAAAATAAAAAATATAAATATTTATAAAATAAAAAGATAATAATAAAAATAAAATAAATAAAATTGATATCTGTTAGTGTAGTAACTTTGATTAAAGTAGTTTTCACTAGGAGAATTATTTTCAGCAGTTCACGTACACCTTGTGAAGTGCGCATTATCTCTGGGGCTCTCGTCTGACTTCGGGGCTGTTACCGACACTCGGGGGACAGAGCGTACCTTCTGTACTTCGTGGTAGTTATTCAAAGCTATGACCCACTGGCACATAGAGCAACAGGCAACAGAAACGAGAGCAATCTTGTTTGGGTTGAAATCAGGTAAGATTAAAATTTTTTTCAGCTTCGTGAAAACCTAGAGATAACACAATTCGTGTATTACAAGAAAATGAAATGTTACTGACCCAAAGTTTTTCCCAGTCCACATTAAAATAAACTTGTATTTCCCATGAGAAATACTCTGCTACTCTTCATGCGTAGACCCAGAGCCACAGCTGGGAACACGGCGTCTCTGGCAGCAGAGGAGGGAAGCCATCTTGTTACTGCCATTGTTGGCCCAGTGGCTTTGCTGGAATTTCACCAAAGGGCCTCCATTTTGTAAAACAAAGAGTAAGCAGGTGGACTTTGTGGACTTGGTGGGCAAGGTGATCTGCCGTCTCCCTCTTGCGCACCTGAGGTGTGAACAGACAGACACCGTCCCCCACCTTCTATCCCCAGGGGGCATATCGGCAGGGCAGTCCCTAGTCAGAGGCCTGTGTCATCAGTGGTGGAGGCGGGGAGGCCCGGGCACGCGGGGGTCCCGAGGACACTCTGGCTTACTTGTGCCACAGGCCCACACACCCACCTCATCTACATAGACAACCTTGTTTCCAGTTGGGTATATATTATTTCTCATCTACTTTGGGGAGCCATAATCAAAATAAAATCTTTCTCAGACTGAGATTCCTTTTCTCTTCCTTTCCAACCAGGCATTTGCTCTCTTGCCTGGTAGGACAGAACCATTTTGCTGAATAATTTAGATGGCAGATGGTCCATTATCAACTTATTATTGGTGTTTTCATTACTACTTAAAATACTGCTATGCTTTTAATAATTTCTTTAGATGAGCTATTATTTTAGCTTGAAAGATCTATTTAAACAAAACCACAGGGAATCATTTTTGCTAAGAATGCTTCAGAGAGTGAGTAGTTGTTACATTAATTCAGGAATAATATGGATGTCACCATTAACATTCTGCTAAAAAAGTCACTTTGTTCATATATTACCCTGTATTTCCTAATAGCACAGATCATCATTTAAGTAATTAATTGTCTTATTAGCTGTTTGATGTCTGACTTCCCTATTACAATGTCAACTTCATAACACGAAGGAAGGAGTTGATCTTGTAAGCTATTGTCATGTCTCATGATGTCCCTTGGAAGGTTACTGAATGAATCAAGGACAGTGCCACATATGCATCTACAAATCTACCTGCTGCCCCTGCACAGAGCTCTCAGCCCAGCTCCTGCTGGTTTGGATATTCCTCTAGCCTCTACACATTATCCAGTTCTATTCATTTTCTGTGAGCATTGTGACAAACTACCACAAACTGGGTGACCGAAAACAACAGCAATTGAGATTTGGGCCCCCCAAGTTCCCAGTCCATGGTGGGCATGGACTGCTTGAGATTCTCTCTCTCCTTCTGCCCCTCCCCTACCCCCCCAAAAATAAAAATAAATAAGAATATACAATGACGAGGGCGCCTGAGTGGCTCAGTCGTTATGCGTCTGCCTTCGGCTCAGGTCATGATCCCAGGGTCCTGGGATTGAGCCCCACATCGGGTTCCCTGCTCTGGTGGGAAGCCTGCTTTTCCCTCTCCCACTCACCCTGCTTGTTCCCTCTCTTGCTATATCTCTCTCTGTCAAATAAATAAATAAAATCTTAAAAAAAAAAAAGAATATACAATGATGAAAGGACATTCTCTACAATAAATGGTATTGGGAAAACTTGACAGTCACATGCAAAAGAATGAAGCTGGACCCCATCTCACATCACACACAGAAATAACTCAAAATGGATTAAAGACTTGGATGTAGACCTGAAGCCATAAAACTCCTAGAAGAAAACACAGGTGGTGAGCTCCTTGACATTGATTTTGGCAATGATTTTGGATTTGAAACCAAAAGGAAAGGAAACAAAAGCAAAAATAAATAAATAGGACATCAAACTAAAAAGCTTCTACACAGTAAAGGAACTATCAGCAAAATGAAAAGGCAACCTACAGAATGGGAAAAAATATTTGCAAACCATATGTATGATGGGATTAATATCTAACATATATAAAGAACTCCTATCACTCAATAGCAAAACAAACAAGCAAAACACACCCCAAACAAAAACAAAACAAAATAACCCCCCCCCAAACCCAATCTGATTAAAAAATGGGCAGAAGATCTGAATAGACATTTTTCCAAAGAAGATGCTGAGATGGCCAACAGGAGCATGAAAACGGGCTCAATGTTACTCATCATCAGGGAAATGGAAGTCAAAACCACAGTGAGATATCACCTTGCAGCTGTCAGAATGGCTAGGATCAGAAAGACAAGAGACAACAGGTGTTGGCGAGGATGTGGAGAAAAAGGAACCCTTGTGCACTGTTGGTGGGATTATATATTGGTTTAGCCATCATGTAAGAAAGTATGGGGGCTCCTCAATTAAATTAAAAATGGAACTACCATTGATTCAGCAATTCTACTTCTGGGTATGCATCCAAAAGAAACAAAAGCACTAACTTGAAAAGATATATGTATTCTTTTGTTCATTAAAGTATTATTTACAACAGCTAAGACATGGGAGCAAACTAAGTGTCCACTGATGGATGAGTGGATAAAGAAAAAATATACACACACACACACACAATGCAACATTATTCAGCCATAAAAAAGAAGGAAATCCTCCCAGTTGTGACAACATGGAAGGGCCTTGAGGCCATTATGCTAAGTGAAATAAGTCAGAGAAAGATGACACCACTTATCTGTGGAACCTAAAACAAAAACCTGAACTCATAGATACAGAGAACAGATTGATGGTTGTCAGAGATGGGAGGGTTAGGGATGGTGAAGGGGGTCAAAAGGTTCAAACTTCCAGTTATAAAATAAATAAGTCCTGGGGATGGAATGTACAGCATGATGACTATAGTTAAAAATATCATATTGTGTATTTGAAGGTTGTTATGGAGTAGATCTTAAAAGTTATCATCATAAGAAAAAATATTTGTAACTGTGTAGGGATGGATGATAACTAGGCTTACGATGGCGATCATTTCACAATATATACAAATACTGAGTCATTATATTGTACACCCGAAATTAATGTTATATACCAATTATATCTGAATTTTAAGACATTTCAAACACTTTTATCCACTCCTTGCAGTTTCTTAGTGTAATGAATTTCACCATTAGAGATTCATTCATTTAGGTTAATCTTTGTTCTCTTTTACAGTCTACTTTAGTCTACCCTCTGTTGGCCTATTCTCTCATTAAAGAGATTCTGAGACAGGGCCTTCCCTGATGTGGGTGACACACTGCTTTCCTCGGCACGCCTAACAAACCTGCCACGTCTGGTTGTGGAGTTTACTCTCTCATCTTTTAACGTGCACCGCTGACTTTCCATTCTAATGCACAATGCCAATTTTAACACTTCTGTTGGACTCCTATAGGCTATGAGCATGGAATGCATCAGTTATGCGTTAATTAGGTGTCGGCTTTTTACCTTCTCGGGGATGCTGTCCTTGTCAAGGTTAACCAGTTTTTTCAGGAAACCAGCTTCTGAAAGAAGCAACTTCGCTGAAGCCCAGTTAGGTTTCTTCTGCAGAAGAATGCAGACTGCATTCATGACGGTCAGCACGAGGAAGGGAGGCCGCGTGTACACTCTGCAATAGTGGTGGAAACCTCATCAGCCTCACAGCTGGTGTCAAATGCGCCCTGAAACCGTCTCGGAAGACAATATACACAGATGTTGAACAGGCATTTTCGTGAGGGTAACTACTTAGCTATGGCAGTTTGGGGTATTTTTAAACATCTGGGTATATTTAATATATGGGTATCTCTGCTTTAGGAAGATGACATACATGAAACTTAAATATGAACAACAGCTAAGTTAGAGGTTAATTCTTTTCATTATGAAAGTATTCACTGCAGAGCTCTTTAAAGCAAGAACCCTCATGTTTTATCCCAGTGCGTAGGTGCTAATGACTACTTGACAGACACAACTGTGCCACTCCCCTTAAAACATCCTCTGACTTTTGTCCTCCCTGACCTAAAACTCCTCCATAAAATCACGGACACAGCAGAGTGCGGGAGGGAGGGCAGGCGGGCGGGGGGGGGACGGGTCTCTTGGGTGTGATTATCCGAACACTGGAAGCTTCTTCTCTGTGTCCTCATCAGCTGACATACCATTGCACTGCTAATGAGAAGGTCAAACTCTGGAAAGCCAGGGGGTCAGAAGAACAGTCACAAGAAGTAAGTTTCGGTGAAAGGCCACGAGGGTGGTGGTTGCTATGCAACAGCATTTGGGACTTGGGAACAAAAGGGATGGGTCCATCCATGGTAATGAGTCTCCCCCAAATGAAACCATACAGACTTCCCAAAAGGCAGGCAGGCAATGGAGCCAACTTTACGTGCACAACACTATCTACAGGGGTTACCAAGAAGGTCCCCCTGCCTTAATTTCACCATTAGAGATTCATTCATTTAGGTTAATCTTTGTTCTCTTTTACAGTCTACTTTTAAAACACAGATATTTTTCAGGACCAAATAATTAAATCATTAACACTTTGTTTAGAACTAATTTATCAGATGGCTTTTCTGAAATTATCAGTATGGTTTTTGAAACTATATGAAATAAGGAGAAAGGTTGTAACAGAGGAACTAGGAAAAGAGAGATAAGGTCCACAAGGGAGAAAGGAGAACTCCAGAAACAAGCTTTTCTTCCATTTTGCCTATATTTGACTCTTTCTAAAGCAAACATAATGGGAATATAGTCAAATTAAGATAAAGTATATTATCTATAATTTTTTAATGTAAATTAAAGGGAAAAGAGATTCAATTGACTATAGTCCCACCTACATGTCACTTTCCAGAAACAAATACCTAATTCAAAGCAAGACCTACCTACCCTGGAAATCTGCTTTAAAGGCCTAATTACTCCACAGGAGTCCTTTGGTTTAGACATTTATTGGTTTGCTCCAATCTGTATTTTCTACTATCTCCCTCCTTCTTCTAGCAGCTAATGCTGCTAATCCTGTGATGGGAAAATCCTCTGCACTTTGCCGCTGGAAATAGCAGCTAGGAAAGAGAACGGGCTGGACTGGGTATCTGCTGGATGTCTCTGCCACGCATCCTAACAATTCCTATCGTAAGGTGTCCCATTTCTCTGGCGGTGGAATCAAAGTGAAATGCACATTAGCAATATCGCAAGGGAGAATCCTAAAAAACAAACAAAAAACTCCCAAGGCATATGGAGGGAATCCCTGGAAAGGCTAGGTTTTTTTAGCCAGGGAAGGGGAGTGGGCCTGCTTGATCCAAGGAAACCTCTTTGCATTGAAATAACTTGAGCCCTTGCCAGAGACTGTTCCAAGCACTTGACATGTTTTAACTCATCCAGTCCTCTGATCACCTGTTATCCCTGTTGCATAAAAGGGAAGCTGAGACACAGAGAGGCAATGCCCGGGTTCCAGCCTGGGAAGCTTGGAGTAGAGCCTGTGAGCTTACCCAGGTCACACACTGCCCTCAGAAATGAGGCTCACAGGCATTTGCACTGACCCCTCTCTCGGGAATATCCGCCAGAGAAAAACTGAGAGAACAGAACTTCTGGAATGAAGGCACGAGGCACAGGGTGGGTGATGCTGGGGCGTCATGGACACTGCCACTTCGCCTGTGGGGACCATGGCCATCCCCTCATGCTCATGGGCCACAGCCCCCCTGGCGTGGGAAGTTCCCCAGGCCCACAAAGCACACTTCTGCCTTCAGACTTTTGTGCTTTCCGCGTCTCCTGCTTACAACACCCTTCCTTGAGACACCTTCCTGGTGTGCGTGCAAATCCACTCAGTTCTCTGCTTCCATGCCACTGGCAACTGGTAACCCTCCCACTTCCGCGGCCAGACTGGGGCCCAGGGCGCAGCGCACTCAGCGTCTCTGCTGCACGAATGTGTGAAAACGCATTCCGGTGAATGAGGTCAAACAGGAGAGAGAGGTCGAGAATCTGCTCTGTTCCTCTTGCTTGTCTCTCTCTTCCATGTCTGCCCTTCATGTAGTTGAAGGAGCGGCTTCGGCACCGTGGCGCTCCCCGGAGAGGCACACTGATTAAAGACAGCTTGTTTGTCCTCTTCTCTTCTTGTCACCAGAGTTAAGCACGTGTGGCAAATATCACTGTAGATTGGCCTACTTCTGCATCTTTAATAGGAAATACTACTTCCGGTAAATAATGGACAACTCAACACATCTGAGAGGTGACAGCAAAGTCTTCTTGTCTGTTGGGCCATGAATGCCAGTCGAGAGCATCTCACCCAGAGATTCAAACTAGAAACATCGGGATCAGGCTCTGGACCTTGGAGAGTCTCATTTCTTCTTGCGCGGCATGCAGTTTGGTTGGCAGGAGCTTTCCTTTCTCGAGGCGACATAAGATACTGACATGCCGTATGGCTGATGGTGCGACAACACGGAGGACACACAGTATGTAACACGCATAAAGTCACTGAGATGGCTAAGAACGACTCAGTCTAAAAATAACAGAATACTTGGTCACTCTTGCTACGTGTTTATGTTTTATTTTGAGCTTCGCCAGCTCCAAACGAACTCAGGTGACCTACCTCAGCTCAGCAATGTCCGCTTTATCCAGGGCGCTCAGAGCCATGACCGCCTTTTCTAGAGCCGGCAGCACGCTTTTTACTTCATGGGCAGTTTCCTGCAACAAAGTTAGGGGCCCCCAAACGTGTATGAGTGCACAAGTTTGCACACCATACACTGATAGATTTTATTTATTTATTTGACAGAGAGAGACACAGCGAGAGAGGGAACACAAGCAGGGGGAGTGGGAGAGGGAGAAGCAGGCTTCCCGCAGAGCAGGGAGCCCCATGCGGGGCTCAATCCCAAGACTCTGGGATCATGACCTGAGCCAAAGGCAGACGCTTAACGACTGAGCCCCCCAGGTGCCCACATTTTCATATTTTGAACTTGGAAAGTAGATTTGACCTTTTTAGGATGCGCATTACTTACACTGCCAGGCATGTGTGCTAGAGTCCTAAGGGCAGTGCCTTATTCCATCCCTGAGGAGAAGCTGTGTGTGGTTTCGGCCTTCTCCATCAGACTCGGTGGGCAGTAACAACAGCCTTTCAAGGAATGGTCCCGGGACAGGGGATCACTGCTCAGCTAATGAAGCCTAAGCTTAAGAGTCCCCCTCAGTGGCCCAGGCCTACCCCCGGGCCCTGGAAGGAGCTCCGCCAATGTTGGCAGGGCCATGTGTCTTTGCTACGCTTGTAGAAGTTAGACACTGTAACTGCAATCAGGTTTCCTCTCGGGTCAGGTGTCGCTGGAATGGCCGGGGACATGTTTGGGGTCTGCACAGAGTCACCTGTCTGTATAATTAAATTACTGCAAGCTATCTCAATTAGGAATGCCTTGTAGAAATACTTTTGCTGTCCTCTGTTCCGGCTTTCTTGGGCAGGTGACATTAAGGCGCTTGGCCAGGGGACATATTGTAATAATTTATGCCATGGGGCCTAGCACCAGAGCTACGTGGGTAATGGAGGAGAAACAAGGTTTGCAACACACCGATCCAGAGTCTGGTCTGTGGAAAGTGCTTGCATGCACCAGATGTGTGAGACTGTAAGTGTAGGGTCAGGGTCTCGTTGATACCTACCCTGAATGGAAGTTCACTCCATCACGATCACACCACATATCGCAGCGCACACTATTCTAAACGTACCAGACAGTGTCTGTTTTTTTGGGTGGGAGTTACACAAAAACAAGCCAGCAGAATTCCTAAGTTTTGGGGTAATAGCTACTGCATTTAAAAAGATGTTTTGGAATATCTCAGTGAAATAAGTGAGAAATTAGAGGTTCCTTACATAGAGATGTGTGAAAGGTGCCTTATTTTATAATTTTAAAATCTTAATTTACAAATAATTAAGACAAAACTTTGTGGACTATAAAACAGAAGTGATTAAGTGTTAAAATCAATAGAGATTGTTTTGTTAGAGGAGCAAAATGTGATGAAAATGTTCAGATTACCCCAAAAGCAATAATTTATTAAGAGGAAAAAAATACATTTAGGATAGAGGTAATGATCTGGCTCTTTTCTGTTTAATAATCCAATTCACAAAGAAGAAGGCATCATACAATCACATTGGAAAAAGTCAAGGTTCTGGCTGAGTTTGCAAAAACTATTGACATTAATGAAAATATAAATATCAGAAAACAACTCTATAAGGAAGACATTGGTAGAAAACCGGTTAGTGAATGCTCTCAATTCACACACATCTAAAAGTATTCACTGCCCAAGAAATCCTGAAATGCCAGTTTTGTTTATACCAATTGATAGCAACGTTAAAAATATTCATGACATTATCAGTGATGAGTTACGAAGTTGAAAGAAACTGTCCTCGACTATCAAAAATGAAAACCACATTTTTATCAACTAGGCTGAACATTCCACAGGAAATGATACTACAAATAATTCTCACACGAAGAAGTGGGGAATCATTTTGCAAATCTCCAAATAATTGTGATCGGTTATTTACCTGAGCATACTCTTCCACTATTCTTACTTCTTCGGCCAAAATTTCTTCATCCTGTTTAACAAGCATCTGGACCTTCTCCACCACTTGTGAATCTTTCTCCAGTTTTTCCATTAGGGCTTCCTTTTCCTGAGACACACGGTTCTTTTGAGAATGAATTTTAAGAGACATGCTATCTCTTCTTTAAAGAGAAATTTGTTTCAAGAAAAATTCATAAAGCTCATTTCATTATTATAAAATTTACCAAAATCATCCTGAAATGTATTTGTTGAACAGACTAAACTGGAAAGGATGAATACAGCCAATATCATGTCCTCCGACACACGTCGAGTTTTAGAACACACTGCAGACTGCAAGCTACCACACGAGTTACATCAGGTTGATGTAACTAACAATGGCAGAATTATGCTAGGTGAGCTTTTACAACTAGTCGTGGGTCTGCTGTCACACTGAGTGCTTACACTGTGATTCTGTCACTATTGTTATTGTCTTGCCCATTTTACAGATAAGAAAGTTGAGGCCAACAGGGCTACCTGCTGCATGCTAACAAAGCTGGAATCCTAATCCATGTTCGCCAACTATGAGAGCCTCTGCTTCCCAACACTGCTCTGTATTACACCATAAAATATTTAAACAAGATTTCAAACCAGATATACCTTTGTTTTTTGTTCTATCTGTGGGCCAAGAATCAAGAGATCCTCTTGCATATCCGTGACAAGAGTGGTTGCTTCCAGGATCTTGGATAGACCCATATAAAAATGATTCCTGAGAAGGGGAAAAGTATTAAGAAGGCATAAGATGTAGTGAAATATCAGCAAGGCCAGATATACTGCAATCTTGTATTGGAAGACAACATGGTAAAGATGTCAATTCTCTGCCAAAATGATATACAGTTTAATGTGATGCCCCAAAGTTGCAGTATGATTTTTCTTTTGTAGATACAGACAAGCTTCTTCTAAAATTTATATAGAAAGGCTGATTAAAACAATTTTGCAAAATAACAGAGTGGATGGGACCTCTCTACCTGACTGTGAGACTGATTAGGTAGTGACAGTCGTCAGGACTAGGGTCTTGGCAGAGGGTCAGGCATGTTGGTCAACAGAACGGGACAGAGAAGCCGGAAACAAACCCACACAAGCACAGTCAACTAGCTTTTCACAAAGGTGCAAAAGTGATAGAGGAAGGAAACGTTTTCAACAAAGGGTGTGCAGCGACTGGTTATACAACACGAACCTGGACGTAAGCCTCATGCCTTACACAAAACTAAGTCAAAGTGGGCTGTGGAATGAAGGGTAAAAGATGGGACTATGCTGCTCTTAGAAGAATGCATAGGAGAAAGTCTCCAGGATCCAGGGCCACGTTCACAGACTTGACAAGAGAAGCATATCCGAGAAAGAAAAACAAATTTGACAAACTGGACTTCACCAAAATTAAAACAGAAACATTCTGTCCAGAGGATGACAAGTAACTGCTGGGATAAAATATCTGCAATCCATATATCGGACAGAGGACTCCTCTTTAGAACAGACAGCTCTCAAAGCTCGGCAAAGAGAAAAATCGAAAAATCCATTTAGAAAATGTGCCAATGCTACAGAGATGTTAAACCAAAAGGACGCCCAGGTGCATAGTGGCCCGTGGAGACACGTGTGATGTCCCGTGTGTTTGCAAGGACACGCGGAAGCTGGATTCCTCAGACTCGGCCACTGTGGAGCACTGGCATTTTCTCTACAACCCGGCATACACTTACTGTATGATTCAACGATCACGCTTCTGGCATTTCTCCTAGACGTGTTCCTAGTAGCTCCGTTCAGAACCGCTCTACCCTGAATGCAGCCCCAGCTCCTCCCGCGGATGAGGGGTTGCACAAACCGTGGCACGTCCATACCGCGTGGTGCTTACAGAAAGGATCAAACTATCAGTACGAGCAACAGCTCGATGGAATTCCAAGGCGTTATGCTGCTTGAAGCCAATCTGGTTCCCATGTAAGGGGGAGACAGAGACCAGACGGTGGCCGGAGGTGCTGGGGGTGGTCGGGGGGGGGGCGGCGGGCAGCTGTGGCCATGTGGCCATGGGCCAGTCCTGCATGTCCATTGCTGTGGCAGCTCCGCAAATCCGCACACAGGGCATGGGGCGTGGGGCCAGGGACACACATGTGCCAATGCCAGTGTCTGGGTTGTGGACAATGTAACGATGGGGGAACTGAGCGGAAGCTGTAAGCTGGACCTCTCTCTACTATTTTCCAACTTCCAGTGAATCTATTTCAAAGTGAAAAGATTTTTTTTTTTAAAAGAAGCAATAAGTTGAAAATTTTCCATTTACATATTCACTAGGATAAAAAATGGAAAACATACCAATTTGTAAGGAATAAAGTAAATAAGCACAATTACTGTAAAATCAGTGGACTACAGATCTGTCAGTCAACAAAATTTTAGTCCCAGCTCTAGCAGGAGGAGGAAAAAGCCTGTGGAAGAATCCGTTTCGACTTCTTGGCTTTCCTAACCTAAAAGGATGTCGTCAACCATGCCCTGCACAAGGTCAATGACACGGATGCTGCCGGGCATTTCCCACTTTGATCTAACCCTCGGACAGGTCCTCAAAACGTCTCATCCAGATTCCTACAATAGCTTTCAAATCTCTGTTTTGAGTTTTCTATCTCTCCAATTTATCCCCCATTCTAATACCAGAGGGATCTTCCTAAAATACACGTATTACTCACCTATGTAAACAGATTGTTATTTGTTGTGTTGCATATGTCGGCCACTGCCGACCCCCAAGAAGCAGGTGCTATTAACAATAAAATGAACTCTGAGAAACATTGAAAACAAAGTGGGGCTACTGAAGCTGAGCTCCCAGGGGAGCACACACGTAAGGCAGGCAGTTCGGGACTTACCTTCCCTATAAACGGAATGTTTTTTATGAGTTCTGGGGTGGGGGATAGACGTGGATTGGCTGTAAGGGACCCAGACCACACAATGAACCCTCCCCACTTTTTCTTCTCCCATGTCTCCCCCTGGGAAACGGGGCTGCAGGAATTGGCGAGTAGCGAAGAGGAGCTGGGGAGCAGGGACCGCTCACCTTCTCACGTGACAGATGTGAGCAGTTATGGAGAGCGATGGTAGAGACCATGTGTATAAGGGGACATCCTGGTCTGACCCACACATTGGGGGGGCTAGCACAAGGCATAGAAACCACCGAGCCACCCAGACAGATGTCTGGGCTGATGGTGTGCGTGAGGCATGGGCAAGCTGGGGAACAGAGGACGCAGCAGGGACAGGGACTGGTTGCACCGATCGCCATCTTGTGGTTGCAGATAGAGGGCAATCCCCCCGCCCCCCGTGGTGGGAAGGGGACACCTTGGAAACTTGGAAGGATCCTCTTATCTCTTGACTCCTGTGTGGGGGGCATCGGACCGATTTATCCAGACTGCCGTCATCACCCTCAGTTTAACCACCGACCAACAAAAAGCTCAACCTAAGGACTTGGAGAAAGCAGCCAGGAGCCCCTACCTCCAGGACTGGAGAGTCTTTACTTAATAGAACAAAGTTCACCTTTAAACTGACAGGATTCCTTGTAGCCTCACCGCGTTCACGGACTCCAGCAACGGCTCTAAATGGAGCGGACGTTGAATCTGCCATGCCCCACCCAGCCTCGTTAACAAAAACTTGAGAAAATGAGCCCCTGAGCTGTGTCCACATCAGGCAGCTGCTGAGGCCACCACTGCTTCTGGCCTCCGCTGGTCTGCCGGACGCAAACTAACGTCTCTAGCATGAGAGGTGAGGAGACACTTCCCTTGTCCTGGGCTTTCCGTGGCGCGTCTGAGGCTGAGTTATGTGTGGCCGCCAACGCGTCTGGGCGCACCCGGATTAACAGCATTCCTAACTGGCCTGGCTCCACATGGGGAGCCTGGCTGTGGCCTATCGTCCAGGCGGGAGTCAGTCACGGGCACCATCCTCCAGGGTCACTGAAGACACAGAATGGACTTGCTTCAAGCCCCTAGCAGTACGGTTAATTAGAGTGTCTCATTGGGTGGCCCCACTTCCTGTAGCAGGATGTAGGCCAGGCTGGAGGATGTCGCCGGAGGGCAGCAGCTCTGCCTGGGTATCCTGGCAGCCCCCATGCCCCGATGCAGGTCATGCAGGCCTCACTGCGACTGCTCGCGGTCTCGTCAGACCTCCTGTGGCCTCCTGGAGCACAGAGTGTGGGATGCTCATGGGCAGGCCGGTTCCGCTCACGTTCCTGTCCTCCCGGGAGGCTGTTAGGACACAGTTTCTGGTGTCGCTGGGGCTCTGATCAGGTCTGAGAGCTGCTGCCCCGTGTTTTCTCACCCACCTTCCCAGCGGCACCTGGACACAGTGTCCGCAGCACCGGGGCGTCCCGCTGTCTGTGACGCAGACATTGGGCTCCTGGTATGTTGGTGTCATCCCTGGGATAAAGGCCATGACCGGTGGCACCTGCAGCTGCTCTGGTTTCCACGATGCGATCTAGCGACGGCTCGACACCCCCTCCCTGTCTCCACCGACTGGCAGCCTTAGAATGCCTCACCTCCTTGAAGGGCTTGTGCTACTGTTGCCCTTTCCCCTCACTGGAAAGGCAGCTACGGGCTCCTCTTTTGTGTTCGTGTTTCTTTCTACAAATAAAAGCACCGATTAAAAATATATATATATTTCTGATTTGGTCTCGAACTCTTACCTCTTTGTTTGCATTTCCTTCTCTCGTGACCTCAAAATGTGAGCAAACGTATCCAGGAACCGCAAGTAGCTACTGGGAGTGATGTAATAATGCCTACTTTCCTGGAAGTATTTTGTGTTCAAGTCTTTTATACTTTTGTGGATTTGGACACACATTGGGGCAAGTTTTTCTTTTAAGTTCTGCAAGATAATAATTTTTAAGAATCAAGAGAAAGCAATATAAATATACATAAAGAAAGAGAAAATAACTTGAAAGAGTTTATCATTCTGAGATATGGGGAGGTAGAAAAGGTCCTGGGTTAATGGGATCAAGAATAGAGAAGTCTTAGTGGTTTGGATGGTGTTAGGGTGGACGAAGCAACAATAGGGCCGGTGGTTAAGGACATGCCAGACTCATGCTACCAGGCTTTACCCTCATTTCTGCTGCAGCCATCCAAGGATTTCGGGGGCCATCACCAATGGCCTGGGTTCATGGTGCCTTTTTATTTTTTTAAATTTCCCATCTTCCTTTCCTAAAGTAGGTTATCAATTACAAGAGACTCCACCTCTCTTCCTTGAGTGAAGTAAAGCTGCAAAAATGTCCGTACATCCTCAAAGGATATAATGATATGTGGGTGGGAAAACTAGAGGAGAAAGTGCCCCTCGCTTAATTTTGGAGAAAATTCGGAGACAGGACTTAGCCCTGGTGCCCACCTCCAGCCCACCAAGGCGGCCAATCACCTGGTCCCCTTTAATCCAGCTTCATTTTCTTCCTGACTCTACCCTTGGCCTTCGCTTTTCCTGGACGCTTCCCATGTGAGGTCGCAGCCCTTTTCCAGGTGCCGCGCTGACTTCTGGGCTGCTCTGGGGTCTTCGGTGGGGCTGCACTTGAAAAGATTCGTACTTACTTCTGGACTCATGAATTCTGGGCTCATTTTGTGTGTGGTTCATTGTCGCCAAACCAGAGAGATTGACAGGGAGCACCCAGAAGGTTGTAGCGTCCTTACCATGGCACCTGGCGTGCCAACTGGAGGTTGGTCCCCTGCAGGGAAACCTGCTGCTCACCGCGACCGCAGGGCAAGACCGTGCAGAGACCCAGGCAGTGAGGAATCTGGGCATCTGTGACACAGGACGGGCCAGGGGGCTAAAGAGATGGGGAGCTGATAAAGAGTCAAGGCAAACACTTGACCTATTTCATAGTTTTGCCCAGAGCTGCCTATTTCCACCTACCCAGGATTCACTGCTATTCAGAGACATAATTCTGCCAGATGCTGTTAATAACCTGAAATCTTCCCTTGGATCAGATTTTTAGAAGAGGTTGTATTTACCTCTCTGTTCTTTAAATCCACCTTTTCTCTTAAGAAAGAATTGGCTACGGCAAGGAGAGCTTCTTCTGGCCACTTCTCATACCAGTCGATCGTGCAGGTGGTAATCATAGAAGGATAGGCTCTACAGTGCTGGCGAAAGGTCGGTCCTTCGGGACTCATGGTCGTAAAAATATGAAGATTTTTATGGATCCTCTGAAAATTAATAAAGATATAAGTTGTTAAAATGGAATCCCCTGCTTTGGAAAAAATATTACATTAAAAATTACTAGAGGTGATCAGGTGCCCTCTGAGCGCCTTCTGAAGGAGACTGCAAGTCCCGTGGAGCTCTCTCGAGGAAAGAGGCCTGGTTCTGCCCTCCGTGACCCGGAACATCCCCTCTATGAACCAAGTCACACGAGTGGGTGTGGTGCTGGAGTTCTGTTCAGGAGGGGACCTTACATCAGATGGAGGCGGGTCTATTTCACTCTTTGCTCTGGGTTGGTGTGCCACTGAGATTCCCAGAAACTCAGAGTGGGAAGTGGTTGGAGGAATGAAAGCTGAAAGACATAGAGAGAAACAGACCGACGTCGTGGGCAGAGCACAAGGGGGGGCAGTAGTAAACCCCTGAAGGGTTAGCACTACGTGGTATTAGACCCGCTACGGTTTCGCAGGTCTTCAGCAAAGGGCTGGCTTCCCTGAAATCTCCCTGCCTCCTTCCCCCCACGAGGCCAGGCTGTGCGGCTACTGTTCCTGGCTCCTCGGAAGGACTGGCGTGGGCGGAGAGTCTCTCCTCATGTCCATCTGTCATGTTCAATGAAACCACATAACTGAAAGCAGCTTCAGTGAGTCAATGTTCCTTCCAACTCAAACAGTTCAATTTGTACAAAGTGGTAAGATGTTTGAGTATCAAGCAACCTATTTTGCCAAAGAAGTGCGGTAAAGCTGAAAGAAGAGGAAAGTGTAAGATTCTTTTTCCTCCTTTTTATCTTTAAAAAATGTATGAAAGCAAATCAAACTGCTCAATGCAGAATTCATACAACAGAGAAATGTTTAAATTAAAAATGAAGTTAGCTCTCTTTGCTTTACCCATCCCCAAACTCCTCCTTGAAGATATTCCATGTTAACGGTTTCAAGTACTCCTTCACTCATTACTGTAAGACACTTCAAATCATTTTTGCAAGTGTGGTATAAAGTAGACATATAAATAATTAAAACTGATTTCTAACTGGGATTCTTGGTTTATTTTTTTTTTATTTCTGGAGGGCACTGTTCTCCAATGAGAAATTCTTTGTTCTTCCTTGCCAATCACAATCTATATAAACCAATTTAGTAACAAGGCACTAGAGGGCCACAAGTTATCAGGATGACTGCATTTAAAAATATCACCCAATCTAATCATCCATTCACGTGACATTGTTCTCCCTCAATTGTGTACTCGATTTGTGGAATTTTTTACATCTTCTCGTGCCGGATCACTAAGTGTCCACTGAGGAGGGATGGTGGGCCAGGTCGATTTTCAGATGACTCCATCATTGACAGGAACTGGCCCGAGAAGTAAGTAGGCCTGCGGTGCTCTCCCTTGAAGGTCTGGTTTGGGCGATCCTGTCTCCTCTCTCTCTCCCCACTGAGCCGATGGCTGGTCATTGTGCCTTAAAGATGCAGAAAGCTTAGCTCGTTGGTCTGGACTGTCTCCAGACGGACCCCAATGCTGAGTTCCTTCTGAATATCACCTGCTCTGTCTGGATTATTTCTGTCTGTGCCCATCACCCCCTGGCCAATTCCAGGGCTATTCCAAGCGATGCAAGAATTTGGGTCTTTTGCCTTTACAGACTTGTTACCAACCGTGGTCAGGGAGGGAAGTCAGTGTAAGAAATAAGCCTGGTGTCTTATTTCTCTTGTCATTGTCTCTTGCTGTTATCATGTTCTTCAGACACTGGTAGCAGGCCCAGATCCTCGCTGACCTTGGATTTCCCTAAGGGTGTGGCGTGTCTGTGTGTGGGGATCTAGTCACTAGTTTTAACTTAAAAACTCATTTAAAGAACTAAAAAAAAAAAATTTATCCAACTTGAAAATCAGGTACAGAATTATAAACGGAGTCTACTTGTCATTTAACATGGCAATTTGGTAAAGCCAAGCCACAGAAGAGTACCTTTTGGAAGAATGCAAGTAGAGACTGCCTGTTATCAATGGAACCAGACTGTTGAGCAAAAGATCTCATCCTTAGTGCAATGGAATCCAGCTCCTCGTTTTCAAACAGGTCAAGTATATTCCTCAAATTGAGAATGTTGTTCAAATCCTCCAAAAACGACTCCTTAGATGAAACAGATACACATCAGGAATGAGTAAGTTATTTACGTTTTCCACTCTAAACATGCCAAATGGAGACCCAGGATAAAGAGCAGTGAAAGAGTTTTTATTAAAACATATGAGCATTTTGATTTTGAGAGAAAATCCAAGCTTTACTAAAAAAAAAAAAAAAAGCATCTTTAGCATCATCACCTCCTCAGGATACTCCTGAGACCCTCACGGGTTCCTGGTGTTTCAGGTGGGGAAGGAAAGCGAGTGGGAGGACCGTCTCCAGGGGAGAGCCGACAGAGCTGCCGAGGGGTTGGCTGATCTCCTGTCTCACCCACAACTGACGGAGAACCGATGGAGCTTCTTAAACACACTGATCATTTCCTCCTGCTCAGGGGGTTCGCTTACCTACCCCAGGGTGCTGCTGCCTCGGCATCTGCTTCATTCTACCAAGCAGCCTGCGGGGACCCTACACTCACACCAGCCCCTGGTGCAAGCCGCCCGCAGAGGGATGAGCAGGTGCTGACTGCTGGTAGGACTTCCCTGACAGCCTGGGCTCAGCAGCCATCCCACCTCCCACGGCCCGCGGGCCTTACACGCCCCTTAGACAGAACCCCCCATGGGCCTAGCCAAAACCCCTCTTTGGGTGTGAGTGGACCCATCTAGCCCTAGCGGGAGCCCAAGTCACGCCACCCACGGGCCCCGGATCCTGCCTCTCCTGGCCTGACCCTGCCCTGATCTCCCCGGGTGGCCCTTCAAGGCATGCTGTGTACTTCTTCCAGGACCTCTAAGAAACTTCTCGATTTCAATTTCTCTCATGGTCTTCTGTTGAACGGTGGATCCCCATCCAGCCCCCTGTGCTCCATTTAACAAATGTTAATTTAACAAGTCATAACACCATTTTTTGGATTCACATGGAAAGCAATGATATGGCCAGGAGAAAGCTGGAAAGTGGGGAGAAGAGATCCAGTGACCTTGAAGTCCTGAATGATATGGGAGTGGATAAGCACATTCAGCCCAGCTCCAACTGATAGTGCATTTCTGAAAAAATGATTTCTTAAATTATAACAGCAGGCTTCCAGCATGGGAGAAGTGACATCTTCTGAAATCCAGAGAAGTATCTGGCAGAAACCTCAAGCTGATGAACAGAGCAGGGTATTTAGATTTGGGAAAGGGAGGACATATAATTAAAGTGGAAAACTGGACACTCTGGAGAGCAGCAGATAACAACACAGCACCCGGACTTACTCTTGAAGTGCGATGTGCAAGAAAACCACAACCCTGGGGAGAGAGGCCCAGCATGAGGAGAGAAAACAAGATGCGAGTTTGAAACAACACTCATAACTACATGTGTCTGGAAATGTTGCCACAAAGAAGTAAATACAATCTGAAATGGCCCATGACGTTTAGGCTGTGGAAGGGCATAATTTATGCCAGATAACAGGTGAGAACAGTAGTTGGGTGATTAGCATTTTTTGCTTGTGTGTAAACCTTTTAGGGAAATACGTGAACTATAACTACAAGGAGAGTCCTAAATGTGACAGTGACGTTGGAGCAAGAGGACCGAGGGGAGGAACGGGAGTCTCGAGTGTGTGGCTGGCATGCTGCGGAGCTCATGCACACACAGTGTATTCAGATGACCGTGTTTTTTCCAAAACACAGACTCCACAACTAGTTCAGGTACGTGGACCAATTACTTCTCATTTGTCAATTAGAATGAAAATTGTAAAGACAGAAGATGCTTTTGCAGAACTCTCAGCAGCATGAGGACAAATATATAAATGCTGTCGGCTGGGAGTGGGGAGGACAGAAGAGCGGGAAAACCAGGGCAGGCTGGCAGGACTATACCTTCTTTTCAAATATTAAATGGGGGGGAGGAGCACTACTTAATGGCAAACGCTAGCAAACGCTAAAGACAAAAAGTACTTACCTGCTTTGGGTTTAAACTAGCAACTATCAGAGCAGTGGAGTTCCCTTCCAATCCTGCCTGAATGAAGGCCCTTTTAAAGTCTTCTTTGAAATCGATGTAGGCATAATTGTGGGACGTGGGCACCCGGTATAGTTGGCACTCTGTCAGGTAACAGGCCAGAGCAGCACAGGTCTCCTTCCCACAGCCGTCTATGCCAATCTGTGCGAGAAGAACAAGCCAACATACTGTTCCTACGTACGTCCCAGACACATTGCAATGCATGGTTTCCTATCACCAAAATACATATTTTTATAACCTTTTCGGGAAATACGTGAAATATAACTACCGTATTTATCAAAGTTCTATAGGGCTTTCATATACATTCAATATTTTCACCTTTTCTCTTTATAGTCTCTTGAAATATATGAGACAATTTGACTGGAAGGAACAATAACACAATCTGAAAAATAGCATCGACAGGTTATAAATCATTACATTACTGCCAGTATTTGACTTTTCATTTAGAAGAATTTAGATAGGTCTTTTCCTATTTATTCTGAGCAATAACCACTTAGGTGCTCTTTGGTAATAACGACAAAGTATTACCTTTTTTAGCAGCTTTGCTGAGGTGTAACTTACAGGCTACACCTCTTTTTATGTATATAATTCAATGATTTTTAGTAAATGTACAGGTTTGCAACCAGTAAATCCAGTCTTAGAATAGTTCTGTCCCCCAGGCCTGTTAGTAGTGAGTCTTCACTTCAACCCCAGTCCCGGGCAACCATTAGTATGCTTTCTGTCTACAGATTTCCTATCCATTGAATAGTAAATATGAAGTCTTTTGCATCTGCCTCCTCACTTAGCATGATGGTTTTGTGGTTCTTGCATGTGGTAGTGTCTATTAGTAGTCTGTTCCCTTTTATTGCTAAATAGTATCCTACTGGATGGGACCTACTGATGGGATACTTGGGAGTATGTCCACTTCACGGCTATTCTAATAATGCTCCCGGAACACTTACGTGCAAGTCGTAAAGTGAACGTTTGCTTTACTTTCTCTTGTGTCGATACAGACAAACGGAACTGCTCTGTTAAAGGGTAAATTGGGGTTAACTTTATAAGAAATGGTCAGACTGTTTTTCAAGGCAGTTGTACTATTTTACATTCGCGCCGGCCACATGCGCAAGCTCCCGCTTATCCACAACCTTGCCAACACTTGATATAGCAGTCGTGCAAGTGCATGCGGGCTGATATCTCCATGGGCTTTCAGATCGCCTTTCCCGAATGGTAAATGATGGCAAGTAGTTTTCTCATAGGCTTATTCCCATTCATGTCTCTTTGGTGAAATATCTAGTTAAATCTTTGGTCCACTTAAAAAAATAAACTTTTTGATTTTAGGAGAGCTTTTGATTTACAGTAAAATTGCCAAGATAGAAAAGAGAATTTCCATACACCCCACATCCAGTTTCCCCTACGAACATCGACCTAGTAGGATATACTTGTTCTCATTAAATGAAACAGTATCGATCCATTATTAACTAGAATCCCTACTTTATTCAGAGTTCCTTAGTTTTTACCTAACATCCTTTTTCTGTCCCAGGAGATATAACTAGTAAACATAATGTGTTTACTAGTTATATCTCCTGAGGCTCCTCTTGACTGTGATGGTTTCAGACTCTCTTTGTTTTGTTCTGATGACATTGACGGGTTTGAAGTGTGCTGGTCAGACATTTTGTAGAATGCCTCTCGGTTGGGGTTTTCTTGATGTTTTCCTTCTGACTAGACTGGGGTTATGTGTTTCTGGGAGGGAATACCACGGGGATAAAGTGTCATTTATCAATATGATTTATCACTGTTGATGCTGACCTTGGTCACCTAGATAAAGTATTGTATGTCAGCCTTCTCCATTGTGAAGTTACTGTTTTCCCCTTTCATAATGCATCCTTTGGGAAAAATCACTAATAGCTCACAGTTAAGGAGTGCGGAGTTATGCTCCAATTTTGTATGCTGACCTTTGCATACACACATTCCTATAAATGTATGAAACCATATACATGAAGCCAAACAGGAGTTCAATTGCTGTCTTCAACTCTCATCCATCACCATATGGCTCACTCTAGCCTCTTGCCCTCGCTTATCTGTAAGCTCCCACTCCAACAGTGAGAAACCTGCTCCCACCACCTGCCATCCTTTACTTACTCAGTTGTATTATATATATGCACAGTGGTATCAGAATGGTGACCTCACTCCCACAGGAAACCACTTTATTAGCTTACATATAGTTTCTTTTGCCTTTAGTCTTACAGACTCCACTCCCTTCCAAATTTCCTTAGGTCAGTTCCTTTCCTTTCCACCCTCTTCAGGGAGACTGTTGCACACACTGTGACACAGTTTGGTTGTTTCGTCACATTTTGCATTCCATCCTGGGATTCCCCAGACCTCCTAAATGACTCTTTGGAACTTCCATACACTAAGGTTCACTCTTTGTGCTGTGAAGTTCTACGGGCTTCGACAAATGTGTGGTGTCATGTACTCATCATTACAGCATTGCACAGAATAGTGTGCTCGAATATCTTACATTTCACCTTCCTTCCTCTCTCCAAACCCTTGGCAACCACCAATCTTTTTACCATCACCATAGTTTTGCCTTTTCCAGAATGTCATATAATTGGAATCATACAGTGTGTAATATTTCCAGACTGACTTCTTTCACTTAGCAATATGCCTTGAAGATTTGTCCATGTCTTTTTGTGGCTTGATACCTCATTTCTTTTTATCTTTGAATAATATTCCATTGTACCCCAGTTTATCACTTACTGAAGGATATTTTGATTGTGTCCAATTTTTTAATAAAGTCGCTGTAATTACACATGGGAAGGTTTTTGTGAGGATGTAATTTTTCAAATATGTTAGGTAAATACATAGGAACATATTGCTAAACTATATGGTAAGGCTATCTTTAGCTTTGTAAAAAACCACCAAGCTATCCTTCCAAGTGACTGTGCCATTTTGCATTCCCATCAGCAATAAACAAGAGTTCTTGTTGCTTTGTACCCTTGCTAGCAATTCCTACTATCTGTTTTTTGTTTTTTTTTAAATTTTGGTCACTTTAATAGGTGTATAGTGATTATCACATTGTTTTCCCTAACAACAAATGATATTGAGAATCCTTTTATATGATTTTGTGAGATGTCTGTTTATTTTTAATTGGGTAGGTTGTCCTTAGGATTTTCTATAAACAGGATCATGTGGAATGTGAATAAAGACAGTTTTACTTCTTGTAAAGTAAGTATCTGGATGCCCTTTTTTCCTTTTTCTTATCTAATTGCACTGGCTACAAACTCCAGTATAGGGTTGAATAGAAATTGTGAGGAAAAAATGTATCTTTGTTTTGTTCCCAGTCTTAGAGGAAAAACATTTAGCCTTTCATCATTAAGTATTAAAGTTTTTCATAGATGCCTTTTATTAGGTTGGTAAACTTCCCTTCTATTCCTTTTTGCTGAGAGTTTAAAAAAATCATTGATGGTATTGGATTTTATCAAACATATTTTCTGCACATATGATCATGTGGTTTTGCCTTATATTCTATTAATATGGTGCATTATATTACTGCTTTTGGATGTTAAGCCAAACATGCAGTCCCAGGATAAATCTCACTTGGTCATGACGCATGATACTTACATGTTGTTGCATTCTGTTTGCTAATATTTTGTGTGGGAATTTTACAACTATATTCATAAGGGATATTGGCCTGCAGTTTTCTCTTGCCGTGATATGTCTTGTCCAGTTTTGGTATCAGGTGATACTGGCCTCGTGGGTGAGTTGGGAGCTGTTCCCTCCTCTATTTACTGGAAGGGTTTGTGAAGGATTGATCTCATTCTTCCTTAAATGTTTGGTAGAATTCTCCAGTGAAGCCATTTGACCAGGAGCTTTTTTTTCCATGGGAAGTTTTCAAATTCCCAATTCAATCTCTTTGTTTAGGTCTTTTCAGGTTTCCTATTTCTTTAGCTCAGTCATTTGTGTCTTCTTCCATTTCATCTAGGCTATCCAATGTGCTGGCACACAGTTGTTCACATTATTCTCTTATAATCCTTAATTCCTGATTTAAAAAATTTTAATAATAGATTCTTCTTTCTCTTTTTTTTCTTGGTTTGTCAATTTTGTTCATCTTTTCAGAGAAAAAAAGCTTTGGTTTCACTGATAATCTCTATTGTTTTTCTGTTCTACTTTCTTCTCTCATCTTTATTAGTACCTTCTTTCTGCTTTGGGGTTTAGTTTTCTTTTCTTCTGTAGTTTCCTAATGTGGGAGGTTAGGTTATTTGAGATTTTTCTTTAAAAAAAAAAAATTTAGGCACTTATAGCTTATATACATTTCCCTCTAAGCACTGCTTTGGGTATGTTGTGTTTTCACTTATCTCAAAATATTTTCTAATATCTCTTGTGATTTCTTCTTTCACTCATTGGTTATTTGGGAGTATGTTGTAAAAATTCCACATATTTGTGAATATTTCAAATTTCTTTCTTTCTTTCTTTTTTTTTTTAAGATTTTATTTATTTATGAGAGAGAGAGCATGAGCAGGGAAGAGGGGTAGAGGGAGAGGGAGAAGCAGGCTCCCCACCCAGCAGGGAGCTCGATGCAGGGCTCGATCCCAGGACCCTGGGATCACGACCTGAGCCGAAGATAGCCACTTAACCGACTGAGCCACCCAGGCACCCTCAAATTTCTTTCTGTTATTGATTTCTACTTTAATTCTATTGTGTTCAGAGGACATACTTTGAATGACTTCAATCCTTTTAAATGTATCGAGGCTTGTTCTATAGTCTGGCACATGGTCTATGTTGGAGACTGTTCCATGCGTGCTTGAGAAGAATGTGTATTTTGTTTTTGTTGGAAGGAGTCTATCTATGTCAATTAGGTCAAATTGTTTGTACAGTATTATTGACATATTTATATCCTTGTTGATTTTGTATCTAGTTGCTCTAGCAATGATTGAGAGTGGGGTTATCGAAGACTCCAATCATTGCTGCTGAACTGCTTATTTCTCTCTCTTCAATTCTGTCTGTTTGGCTTCACATATTTTGGGGCTTAGCTGTTAGGTGTGTGTGTTTAAACTGTTGTATCTTTCTGATGATTGATGCTTTTTTATCATTATAACATCTTTCTTTTCTCTTGAACACTTGTTTTTTTTCCCTGAAAGTCTATTTTGTCTGATATTAGTATAACCACTCCAACTCTCTTATGGGAATTATTAGCATGAATTATCTTTCTCCATCTTTTCTTTTTTCTTTTTCTTTTTTTAAAGATTTTATTTATTTATTTGTCAGAGAGAGAGAGCACAAGCAGGGGGAGCAGCAGGCTCCCTGAGGGAGCCTGACACAGGGCTCGATCCCAGGACTCCGGGATCATGACTTGAGCTGAAGGCAGATGCTTAACGACTGAGCCACCCAGGCGCCCCAGTAATGTTTACTTTTAACAAGTCATGTATGATATGCTTTTTACTTCTTTATCTATTCAACTAATCTCATTTGAATTGACCAATCTAGATCATGATTATTTTTTTAAATCTGTTTTAAACATTCTTCATCAAGTCATTACGCTCCCTCCGGCTGCTTCTCCCTGCTGAAGCTGCATAGGCTAGGTCAGCTTCCAGTTATATTACCATTTTACACAAGTGAATCCCAGTGCAAATCTATCGATCTATTGATGATCTTTTTTTTTTTTTTTTTTAATCGGATTTGAAGATGTTTATTGCATACTGGTTTGATGAATCTATTGATGATCTTTAATTGGGCAAAGTAGTCACAGGATCAGAGAGGAAACAGGGACTTGCCATGCTTTGCCTTGTATTTTTAACAGGGGCTCTGACAGGATGATAGGGTCATGAGAAAGCATTGTTAAAGAGGCAAGTTTCTAGTTGAGCGTTAGGTCTTTAAAAATTGCTCTGAATGCATTCTCAGGATTTTAGAATTGACAACTCTTTGTAAACTCACTTGTTATTAGAAAAGAAAGTCACTTTGTGGTAAAAGAAGCAAACTGAGAGTATGTACCATTTGGGAGTTAAAAAATAATCTATTATTAACTGAAACAGACAAAATCATAGATCTTATAGAGCTTATGTTCTAAATGTGGAGACAGGTAATACATAAATGAAAAGTTAAATACGTAAGATCCAATAACGCTAAGGTCTAGGGAGAAAAGGCAGAATAAAGGGACAAAGTGACAGGGGCCGAGGGGAGGGGAGAGACAGGGGAGGCAGGAGTCCCGGGGGCTGTGGTAGTGGCTCGGGTAGGGTGGAGGCAATCAAGATGTGTACGAGTGTGCTTTTTAAATACAGCTATTTCGGAAGCTGTATTTCCAGGATGTATTGACGGACTGAGGGTGGGGTGTGACAGAAAAGCGTCCAGAATGAGGGGTTCCTGGGTTTCTGGCTAGAGCGGTATATCTATGTTGGTGCCATTTATGAGATGGGCGAGGTTAGTAAAGGAATAGTTTCAATGGAGGAAATATTTGCTTTTGTATTTTTGCTTTAATTCTATTTTTCAGTTTTTAATTCCTTTTAATTACTCTTAATGCATGTCTGTTCAAATAAAGCTCTAGTAGTTCTGAATGCAAAACAAGTCTTTTTGGGAAAAAATGATGTGAATTAAATAACTAGTTATAAATAACAAAAGTATAAAATACATAAATAATAGGTATAAGCAATAGCTTAAATGTTCATAAATACTGTGATTCCTATAATTGGCTGCGTGTGTTGGATTTTATTTAGCCTTCTGAAAGCTTTTGTCTACTCAGGTTGTTTGGGGATTTGCCAAGAATTTATCTCCCACTTGTTTTCATGAGAAGTAGAATTTTGTGCAAAGACTCAGTTTTAAATCCATATTCCAGGAAATGTACTGTTTTCAAGGTCAAGATCCACCTGCACAGACACTACATTGGTGCTGAGGATATGCTAGAGATGCTGCCAGCTCCGTCACTTCTAGTCACATCAAACGCTTCCAAAAACAAGCATTTTTATGTGCTGATAAATTTCTTATGCAAACTCTGGAGAGGAAGAGCACGTTGTGTGGGACTCAGTGGCTGCAAGCTTTCACAAAGAGAAAGTCTGCATAAGTAAAACTTTTGTAAGCAAGGTAGATTTTATCAGATTCCCTCAATTGTTATTTTGAAACTTAAATGTATTTGAACAATTTAAACTCCTACCAGTAACATGTGACCCCCTGGCTGCCGAAGGACCCTCGCAGCTCTTGCGATGTGTTCTATGGCTTCCTTGAAGAACACCATGGAATGAAAAATCTAGCAGAGGAAATGGGACAAATAAAGTGCTTACAGGCATAGAAAAATCAAAAGTTCACTGCAGTTTTACATACAAGGATCCGGGAGTGAGACTGACGATTTTCGTAATCCAGCAACCTAGACCCACTAAACTGGTTTACATTTCTGAAAAATAAATTTGCATAATGAGGAGTACCTATGCCAGTATTGCCGTGAGCAAGACCGGGGGAGTCCCAGGCTCGAGGGAAGAGAGGAGGAGGAGAACAACAGCATCGGGGCTGTTCTGCTGCTGCTTTATCTTGGGTGGGACTCGTGGTGAGGAAAGAGTCCCAGGAGACGGGGTGGCGGCATTTGTGATTCTGTTGGGGCCCCCGGTCCGACACCTGTCTGCCCAGGACAGCAGTGGCAGGGATGCTGCTCCTTGCTGTTGCCCTGGACACGCAGGGGCAGAGGGAGAGAGAATTGCAAGCAGACTCCCTGCTGAGCGCAGAGCCTGACACCGGGCTCGATCCCACGACCCTGAGATCACGATGTGAGCCGAAATCAATTCGGACACTTAACCGACTGAGTCACCCAGGCACCCCTCTTTCTCTCACTTGCTCACACGTCTTGAAAATATCTGTTGTGAAAGAAATATACCCATCCATGTGTGTGTATAACACACACACACACACACAGCACTCCTCAGAGTCTACACAGTGCACGTCTGTACGTACCTCCAAAGACGTGGAGCTCAACTTCTTTTGGAATTCATTCAGCACGTTGGCAAGTCTATTATAGTCATTGGTATTCCGATAGATCTTTTTCCTATGAGGCTTGTTTATATCCAAGAAATCCACAAATACAATTGAGTCGTTCATCAGTTTTTCTTTGGTCCATTGAATCTATTGTAAGATCATCATTTAAGAGTATGTGTTAAGAGCCAGATTCTACTTGTTATCAAAACGAATGGAACAGATCTGTATCAGAGACACTCTTGGCACAACAGATCCAGGTAAGCCTTGGGGGCTCTTTCCCTTTGCTGTGCTATGGAACCTGTGGGCCCTTTCTCAGAATACGTACATCTGGTGCCATACAAGGGTTGCAAAGGAGACCGAATACATTGACCTGCGCCTCCCACTAGGTCTCAGCAGCCCCACCCCCACCCCCTTCAGGTGTCCAGCGCTGGAAATTCCCAGCAGGCACCCAGGAGATGAGGTTGGGCGGCAGGATAACATGACAGGTAAGAGGATATCAGGAGTCCGATCTCCCCGGTTTGGATGACTCCACCACTTAACTAGCTATGTAACCTGGGGCAAGTTCTTAGCCCCCTCTGCCTCAATTTCTTCATCTGTAAAGTGAGGATAACAGCAGGACCTCCATCGCAGAGGTGTTATAGAGACTAAGATGAGCAATGATATAGAAAGCTCTGGAAACAGTGTCTGGCACATTGTAAGTGCAACAATTGTTAGCCTTACCACATTTTATTTTTCAAAAATGAAAATAAGCCAAACTGATTAAATGATACCATATAAATGCAAATTCTCAGAGGACTAATTTATATCTTTATGTCCTTAAGGAAGATGGGTCAATATGTCTTTACTCTGGGGTCTTGCAGCGGTTCCTGCTGTCCGTCCACAGGGCAAGCCGTGTGTCCCTGAAGCATGTGCGAGCTCATGTCCTACCGCCTCTGCATCTATTGCTTGTTCGTCCGGCAAAGTCCAAAACCTGGACTGCCCTGCCATTTACAGGAGGGAGTTTGCAAACTTCACCCGGGGGGGTGGGGGAATGATCTCTCTCTAGTTATGTTAGCAAAGTCCCTCCCTTCCTCCCAGTTATCCTTAACAAGCACCACTGAGAGGAAGGAAGGATGCTGAATTCTGGTGATTAGGTAGAGATAAAAATCAATGACTTTGTTCTCATAGAACCCACAGGTTAGAGAGAGAGATAACTAATTACATTATAGTAAGTTCTAGGATAGGAAAGTCCACAGTCCTGGGAGAACACAAAGAAGGGACCCTCAAACTGGAAAGGGGGTGGTGTTGGCCAGCGACATCCACTGAAAGAGGAAGCGTGAGCTGAATCTTGAAGGCTGGCCAGAGGGGACCCAGGGGTGTCGAGGCAGAGGCAGGAGAGACCACGGACGCCAACGCCGCATTCCAGCTGGGACGTGGGGCTGAGGTGCCGAGGTTTCCGGTGTGGTCACGGAGGTGGGCAACATCAGGCCAGGGCACCGGGAGGTGCAGGGAGCACAGCAGGCAAAGACCGGGAATGGTTTTGCAAGTGGTTTTGTGTGTTGAGCATGAAGCACCCCGAACACCGTGAGCCAGACTTGGAAGACAAACCAAGGTTTAACTTTAGAGCTCAGGTTCTTTCTGCCGAACCACCTGTCTGTATCTGAAATGTAGACAGAAAGTCCAGTTCTTGCCCACAGCTTACATTTATAGAGTGCTTACTGTATGTCAGAAACTGTTCTAGACACAAAGGGGTGCCGCTGATTCTCAGCACAGCCTACAAGTGGGTATGGCTGCTACCCCAACTTCAAAGATGAGGGAACGGAGACATGGGGGGTCCCCTGCTAGGGCTCCACAGCTGCTCAGGGGATGGGCTGGGCTTTGAAGGTGGGCAGGGCCCATGGGGGTAGCCTCTATATTCAAGTGCTTCTCAGGTTGCCAGGGAAGAAAAGCGGGAATGGTACCCAAGTGGGCTGGGGAGTCTAGTCTCTGAGCAGGGGAAACGGGGTAAAAGTAGGGACAAGAGGGGTCTGAAGCATCAATGAAGAGCAGCAAGGACAGCAAGGACATCACCAAGGACAGCAGGCCAGGTCTGAGGGACTCCACAAGCGATTGGAGGTGTGCTGGTCTAGCAGGTGGGAAAGGATCACCCCTGTGAGCTCAGCGGAGACATGGGAGGGTAGGGGCTGTGCGCTGACATGAACAATCACATCAAGGAGGAGCTGGGCTGGGCTGAGAGCAGAGAGCTCTCATCTGGGCTGAAGAGCAGAGAGCCTGGACTGCAAGGAAATAATGATGGGAGTGTCTCGAAAGTATTTTTTAAAAGCTTTCTGGATTTGGGACTAGTCTTAAACATACATATGTACACGTACACAGTACACACACACACACACACACACACGAACGCAGATCTACATATATGTGTATACACTGCATTCTGAGTTTATGTGCATGTCTGTATCTCTAGGTATAAGGTTCATACCCAAAAGTCTTTTTTTTCTCTGTTGTGAATTCATTATATTTCCTGGGCTCTTATGAACAGGACGAGAGAAAGCAGCACCACCAAAGAAGACAGAAAAGGAAGGAGGAGTCACCTCTGGAAGGAATTCCGAAGGACCCCGCCCCCCCCAATTCTCTCGAGAGGAACTCACACCGCGGCCTCGTGAAGGCGCTGAACTCGCCCCTGTGCTTCCCCACCAGCTTGTGGTGTGGTTCAGTCTCCTGAACTGCTCTCCTTCCTTCTGGACTGGGAGCCCAGGGGCTCCGTGGAGACCAAAGTTCAAGGCGCTGGAGCTACGGGGACTGAGCGCTTCTGCCAGGCCTGGAGAAACGTGAGCTGTGTCAGGGCTTGAAGGCCAAACGCACGAGCAAGGGCATCAAGACTTTGTCATTTCCATCCCATCAAATCCATGTTCATTTAGACATTATCAAGTGGAAAATGGGATTGTTAATGATATTAATAATGTTGTTATTAATATTATAGAAACGCCTGAGGGCTTTTAGGAAACAACACTTTTGCCTGAGATACCATTTAAAATAATTTTTAAAATATAGGTTTACCTGAAAATAAGTCTCAATTTCCTTTGAGAGAAGTTGATAGAAAAGCCCTTTTTCGGTATATTCCATTAGGCGATCGTGAAACACTCGGGTGGCTTCGTGAACTAAGAACAGAGCCGCCATCTGTCTGGAATTAACGACGACCTTCTCGGCTTGCAGCAGTCCCAGGAGGAGCTATTAGGGATTGAAACCTAAGGTTTATTTTGAACATTAGCAGGTAGTCTGTGAAGCAGAGGCTCAATTTGTTCAGGTTTACGATTCCATACAAACAGAAGCGATGATCTGAGGTGAGAAGTGTCCATTTCTCCAAGTGATAAACTTGATTTTTGATGAAATGGGCAGGTTGTAACTCAGAGAAAACTGGCATGGCACACCCCCCCGGAGGGAAAGGGGCTAAGGCCCCCTCGGCCGGGCCCAGTGGAGGCCTCACCGGCTCGGGAAGCCATGGGTCCTGACCACTGGGGCTGACTTGGAGCCAGGGGTGCAGGTGGTGACCGGGACATGCTTCTTCATGCAGGCATGTTCTAACATTCTGAATTGGATTAAAAGAATTTATAACCCATTTCAAACATGATAAGCACTATTTTGGACCACAGGTCCATGGCAAGGAGAGAAAGACCGAATTCAAAAATTGCTTTTCTTAATGTTTTAATTCTGAAAATTATTTGATCAAGGCTAGTGACTGAGTCAGCATGGTTGGCAACATTTCCTGTTATAAAAAGCAAGACTCGTGGGAAATGCAAGCATATTTATGAGATGCATACAGGCTTTCATTTTCTGAGAGCTGCACTAATATCTCAGAAATAAAGCAAAACCAAAAGCCGTGTAATACCCTTGCCACTGCTTTCCCTGCTGAGACTCTCAGCCAATATTCTAACAGTCTGTGCGGCTTCATCACTGAATTCTTGCAGGGCATTGTTTTAATGATTCTTTTTAAATGGCTCATGGGATAAACTGCTAATAAACAGCAAAACTCATCAACTTGGATTTCTTTTTCCCCCTTCTCTAACAACTGAATGTTGACAGTGGAGCAAAGAGGAGAGAGAGAGAAAGAGAGTCAATTCAGTAAAATTACATTTCCTCAACTTACAATTTAAAGTTAAGCTAAAAAATGGATTTTAAAACACACCTTAAAGATATCTCGGAGATTAAAGAGGTAGTGGCATTTTGCTGGGGTTGGCAACATGTTCTGACATACTTGATAGTAGACAGCGAGAGAACAAGATATTATCTGATCCTTACTTTTCTGAACGTTGGATGTGAAGTTATTGATGGAGAAATACATTCCCAAATGAGCCTTTAAAAAGAAATTTTATAGTCAGCCTCAAAGTTTAAGCACAGTTTCTTCCTAATTAATCCCTACTAAAAAGGAGATGAGTGTACTATCATGGAGGATTTATGACATTTAAAATGTTAGTAATTAGAATCCACTTTAAACCAAACAGACTAATACAAAGACACTGCAAGGGTCGCAAACCGGGGAAATTCTCCTTGGTCCGAGTTTGGTGAATGATCTAGAGGCAGGTGTTGCTGCGCTCTGGGGACAATTTATGCCCCACCTGAATGTGTACTGGGAGTGCTGACAACTGTCCTGCCCCCTTGCTCTCCAGGAGAGGTTACGAGATGGAATATAAGGTGACAGAATTATTTTCTCATTTTGGGTTGGTGTATGTATATATATTCTTCTACATTAGGATTAAGAGTCAGATGCTTAACCAACTGAGCCGCCTAGGTGTCCCTCAAATTTATTTTTCTCATCAAACTAGATTTCAAGTCAAGCCATTTTTCTAATCAGATATTTCAGATTTTCTTACTTTGTATTCTACAAAGAAACAAAGAGAACAAACCAGGATAGCAGAACTCTAGGCGAGCTTGTTAATAATGCAGACTCCTGAGCTCCATCCCAGATATGCTGGATTAGGGTCTTTGAGAATGAAGTCGTAGGATGCACATCTTACCCATGCATTAAACGTGTGCCACATGTATTTCTAATGCACACTGGCTTATGTTTCAGTTATTTAGAGGCAAATTACAACCACAGGCCAGAAAGGGGCGGCGGGGGGGGGGGAGGACAAAACCCATCCCCTTGAGGGAATTTTCTTTCAATATCAGTGGTTTTAAGTTTTCACATCTTCTCTTATACTATGGAATTAAAATTCTTGTTCAATAGAAAATGAACTGACTGCATTACCTGGAAAATAGCGCGCAGGGCGCTCTGTGGAGGATGAGGCAGCACCAGGACAGAAAAGTGTTTGAGGAGACGCGGGCTGACATGCCTCCTGACTGCTGCAGGGCCGCAGGCTGCCACTAGAGAAAGATCTTGAATGTTCTGTGGGAAGAGTGAAAAGGGCGAATACATGCATCTGTAGAAAGTGAAATATCACCCATTTCTCAGTCCCTAGTGAACAGAAGATTTCAATGTTTAGACGAAAAGATGATTTACTGCAAAAACAAAACCTGTGACCACAATAGAAATTGATCTTCTTAGAAGTAACCGAAACCCTCAAATGCAATTTCGAGACAGCTTCCTTCTAGGAGACTTTCTAAATGTCATCAAGCCATAGCCTGACTTTGAAAAAGCAATTACTGGACACGGAGCAACATGCTGAGGCGAGTGGAGGACTCTGGTGATGAGGGAGGGCTCAGGAGCACGGAGCGAGTCCCCAGGGAAGCCAGGGTTGTGAGGGTCACGGCCCGTGGACACACCGTGCCTTCGGAGCGCTGCAGAGCTGGCCTCGGTCCTGCAGACCGGCTCACGGGCTCATGGCGGGCTTTGTAACAGCTTTGTAACAGGCCGGACCCCAGCCACAGAAACCCTACAAGAGGCCAGTCTCCTGGATTTTCCCTGCCCGGGCTGCATCTGGATTCTTCTCTTGGCTGCGGGATAACGGGTGGTTCACATAGTCTGGTGTCTGAGCCGACAGGGTGGCGTCCAGGATCCCTGGCCCAGGTTTGTCTGAGACGTGAAACTGTTTGTAATGCAGCCGTCTAATTCCACAGACAAAGTCAGTTCTTGAGCGCAGGGCTCGTGATTTCCAGAGAAGGAACCAAGTAAGGAGACAAGTGCATTTGCTTTTTCAAAAACTGCAGCCATTCTGACTAGTTCGAGGTAATGGAAACAACAGCCCAGGAATACCGCCCTGCGAATCTGTTGGACTGTGCAGTGCTATGGAACATCCCTGATCAGTGATCTTGCAGAGAAAGACGCAGAGCACTCTTACACAGACAGTAAGATGCACGTGCTGGGGCGCATTTTCGCTAGCTTTTCTCCTATGTGTTCACTGATGCTGCATAACCTGATGAGCTGCTGATGTGATTAATAATGGTGAGCATTTGACTCAGAAATTAAACCTACATGGCATACTTGGAATTTTCACTAACAGCGAATCCTATGGAGCCGTGTGGAATGACAAAGATGTCTTCGGCACGGTTCAGGTAGGGTTTCTGATGTGTTCTGTGTGTTCATCCCAAGTGTCTCAACTCACTCAACTCGGTTATGAACATTTAGTTCATTGTTAATGGGAACAAAATCTTTGTATATGCTGTACCTTCCAAGCGTTCTTCTCAGTGTTGTACAGACCTCCCATATCTAGTAACTGCCTGATCAGTTCCAGGGGTGGCTGAGCTCCGGACGTATCCGGTTCCGGTACGTTCAGATCATCAATGAACAGGACAATCTTGAGCAAGACAAAAGGTTTTAAAACATATCACTTGGTGTTGCCTTTCCTTCAGTTACACATTAGGAATACTAACTACACTATGGTGTAAGAACAAAGTTATATGAAACGACATGCCTGTTTTTCTATTCAAAAGCAGGAGACCAAATTCCTTTTTGAAGAGATGACTTTAGACAACAGTAAGTTTTCAAAACAGCGGCCACCCCCAACAAGGCTATTCTCTTGGTACCTTTCCCTTAGGCTTGTCTTCCTCTTATCGTCATGTTAAAAATAAGACAACAGGCCCCAAATGGGAGTCCCTGGTAAGCCCCAGGCCACCCAACCCAGACTTAATGACAGCTTCGGCTCTCCCAGAAGGTATCTGAAGCCAGTCACTCAGCTCTAGGGAGGTCGTCCTGACACACCCTGCCACCCCCAGGGGGAAGGTGACATCATCACAACCCACACGCTGTTTGCCAGGATAACTTGCTTCCCGCCCCCTGCCCCCC